AAGTTTAGAACAATTTGCACTTTGTTTGAGCTTTTTAAGTTTGCCTAAACCAGAAATGTCTTCTAAAAGGTTTCCCAGTTTTAAAAGCCTCGTATTTTAGTCAGACACATTTTATTTCTGATAGGATTGTTAAGCTTCCTGTGATCCGTCTCAGTGGAAAGTAAGAAGGAATCATGCACAATCATCCTTCGATTTTATTGAGAGCAGTTGACTATTTAATCCTTGTGCACATGGTCCATCTTAACAGATAAATGAAAAATACCTGGAAGTACTTTCTGGAAAACATTGTTAAGCAACATTTATTTCAAAGCAGAATATTAGAAAGGGAACTTACGTTTTCTGTTATGAATTTTTTAGATTTCTATCCTGCCTTAGGGAAAGACAGGCAGGCCCATCATGATTCCTCCTCCCACTTTTGCTTACTATTAATATCCTTGTGAGGTAGGTAGGGCTGACAGACTGGGTGGCCCAAAATCACCTAATGAGCTTTTATGACTGAGGATGGATTTGAATCTTCCCTAACCACAATACTACACTGCCTGTTAGTACGCATGTGATATTTCTTACTTGTTATGTAAAATTGTTACTGGAGTAGGAAGGTAGAATGGGAACAAATCATTCTATTGGCCCCTTGCACATTTTCAGGTAACAGCTAGAAACACCAGACAGAAAGTGAGTAAGCCTACATCAAAGCACAGGTCTGCAAAAAACTGATTTTAAAGAGAACGGAGCAAGATTTATCCCAGGACCACAGGTGGCTTTCCAGCATTCCTTTTTCGGGCCCCAAAGTTCCCCAAACAGCAAGGCCAAAGTTGGTCTCTTAAAGGTTCAAGTTGATAGCAAGTGTTCAATGCACCACCTTTACCCTTTCAAACTCCTGTTCTTCTTTGAGGAACAGCAATTAGTTATACCCTCTTCTGGTGTAGGTCTTCGAAGATGCACGAAGATCTCGTGTGGCTTTGGGCTAAAAAAAATTGTGCATTCAATGGCTGAGGGCAACATGTGTTCTCGGATCCCTTAGATCCTTTTAGATTCTCCAAGTATTTCAAAATTCAAAGGTAACCAGATTCCATTAAGACTAGGCTATGCCATAAGGAAAGAGGAGCAAAATTTCAGGTTTAATCAAGGTGGAGATACAATGAAAGAAGGTGGAATTTGATTAACTGCATATGGGAAAAGTTCATTCCCTCTAACCAAATTAATACCCTCCTCCCAAATTCTCTGTAGCATGTTCTGGGCATTAAAAGTCAAGCCCTATTTTCTCTAAAGCCTTGAATGGTTTAGCACCACATTAATTGAAAGAGCATGTCCTCTCAATACCCAATGAGATTTTAAGATCTAATGAGGCCCTCTTCTAAGTTCCCATCACAGCAAAGAACTTGACATGGATCTCAACGAAGGGGGACTTTGATTTTATTTTATTTGCAGTGGCACCCCATTTGTGAAATTCTCTCGACAGAGACTCAGCTAGCTTCCACTTGATCATTTTGATACCAGGTGAAAATCTATTTCCCCTGGCCTTTTTACTGCACTTTAATTGTACTTTAATTTATATTGTTTTAGCTTCATATGATTGCCTTGCTGCTGCCTAGCTTGCATTTTATTTGGGTTTTTTTGGTATATGTTTTTATTAAAATTGTATCTTTTAATATGTTTTATTGTAAGTCAGCCAGTCTGGCTATTGAGCAATTTAAAATTTTTAATAAACAATAAATAACACTTTAACCCAATAACACCTACTGTCCCAAACTATTCTTCAACAACACCTTGTTTTGTGCCCATAATGTACCTCCTTGGGCAAATAGCTGGGGAAAGGGGAAAATTTATTAAGAAATGAATAATATGCTTTTAAGAAATTACAGAAAGCAATGTGTTCTTTGGGGGACTCAGCCTTTTTATTTGCACTTATAGGAATAATTGTATTGATCTGCTCTGGTGGCTTGTTTTAAAAATTAGAAGTTTATTTAAATGAAAGAATTTGAGTGTTCAGAATAGATTTATGCATGCTAACTTAACCATATGTGAGTTTGCTGGTTAGTCTGTATAATTTTATTATGTTAGTTAATTTGGGGGGGGGGGTTATTTAGAGTGCACTTAATAGCCTAAATTTGAAATTTTTTTATAAGTGCAGGACCTGTTGCTTTCATTTAAATATGAACCTTGAAGTTTAATTACAGCTGTTTAAAGGGAGTACAAAAGATAAGCTGAAGGGCTATAAAACTGACTGGATACTGGAAATCAGTATTTCATTAAAAAAATTGGATAACATTTTAGAAATGAAATGGTGAATTTGTAAATGCATTGATTAAAATGTCAAAAATTTCACAATATCATTAATTAAATATAAAAGAATATATGCTTCTTTTCCCTTTTAAACAATTTAGTGTACAACTCATAATTTCAACATTCATATATTCTATTCCAAATTTTGAAAATATATTACTAATACTGAAAAAAATTGTGGTAAGAACTATCCAAATGCATGTAATACAAAATAATTTATAAACTCAAAAAACATGAAAGAAAAAGACAACAATAACAAAAAAATTCAGTAGAAGTAACAAGAACTAGAAGCATAGTTTAAGTCCTACCATGAGGCTGTATTCCTATGCTTATGGAAATTACTGAAACTTTCAAGATAGAAAGCAACAGAAAAAAAAGTATTGAAACTGAAATGTTAATATATTCTTAAATAAAAAGTTACAATTGCTATGAGAATAAAGAACAATTTTTTTTTTATCTCTAACATCTGAAAGCAACTTTTTAAATCCAACATCTGACATCCAATTAATCCAGATCACAAAGCAAAGCAAAACAATAGCAATTTCATATATTGTCTATACATTGAAAAGAAATTTGGAAGAGAATGGAAGTTACAAGAAGCAAAAACATGCTGCAAAGAGACATTACAGACAATATGAATCTTTAAAAAGTACCGTAGATAAGGAAACAATTACTGAAATATTACTGATTTACAATTTGGAGTCATGGGTAAAGCTCAGTATTTTTCTAAATATAACAAATGAGCAGGAGAAAACCTTTACTTTGACCTAACTAACACAAAAATATTTAGTTACTGTATAAGACAATATTTTTCTCCATTAAATTCAAGAGTATCAAGTTCTTCAACTCAACACAAATCAGCATAAAGAGCAAAAAAAGTGTAATAATTACTGGGTGCTCTAATAAATGGCAATTTTTTCAGAGGGTATTTTTCACAACATACACAATCACTTTAAGCCCAATTCATGTTTCTTTTTCAACCAGCCAAAGTAACATCCGTCCCTGATCTGATCAAGCAAGACTTCTCTTGAGCGTCATTGAATGCATGTGCATTTAACTGATGTTACACAGTTCTGCAACGTGAGTGAGTATCACTTATGGTGGTAGTTATTTAGGAACAAAGGAATGCTTACAGGAAACAGCCAAGCTTTTGCTTCAGGAATTGGACCGCTTGGCCAACATCCCAAATTCCAAGAAAAGCCAGAGTGATTTTGAGGTCCTTGGTGGAAAAAAAGCATTGCGTCCTTCAGTAGCAATTCAGCTTCCCAAAGGTGAATTAAACAATGCCAACACAGAATGCTTATCCTCATACAAAAAAGGAACACAGCAGTAATTGTGTTCATGATGCTTTCTCCCGTATGTTTTCCAAAGTGTTTGCTTTGCATTCAGACCTTGCATTTGTGCCTTTACTGGGTGCTTGTTGCCAGCTTGGAACCCTTTCAGCCGTCAAAAAAGTTCTGACTATAATAGAGGTAAAAAAATTATACCACCATGTATGAGTTTTGATACAATGACTGGAAAAAAAAATCTTAATAAAAACTGCTTTGGACAGCACATCTTACACAAACTGCCATTTATTTCATTGTCTCCTATTTTTCACATTTTTAGAATGTAAATTCCCTATTTAATGTTCCCGACCGAATTGGAAATGGGAAACTGAGCAAGCTTGGTACTTCCAAATTCTTTCTAACCTTGCCTAGCAGTTGTGTTCTAAGGCAGGAGGGAGAGTCTAAGAGAAACTGGTTAATTTTATCCAGGACAAACCACAGTGAGTTTCTACATATAATCTATAGAGTACGTTCTCCCAAATAATTATGCCATCTGGGTAGCTGTTAACAGGGATGGTGTATAAGGGGCATTTCAAGGGGGAGGAATGAAACCTGTCAAGAGTGAAACATTTGCAGCTATCTGCCTTTTCGTTTCAACTTGTCATTGATTACGAATGGGTTAGTTGAAGAAATGGAGATTTCACTGAATCTTGTGAGAGTCTGGAAACTTTTCAAGGATATCTTAACAGGTGTGAAGAAGAAGGCTGATGGTTCCCATAACAAAGAGAACTTGTTTACATGGTCTATGAGGAACCTTGGGGGTTTGGCTGGGAAAAATCATTGTTTAATACTGTGAATTGATGCCTGAGAATTTCAGTGTTAATTTTATCTTGCCATTACCATGCAATGTATTCATTTGGAATATTTGGAAGTGAAATGATGCTGGACTTTTATTTGGATACTCAAGCTGAATGTTGACAGAAACTACTCTTGACTTGAATTGTATGATTCCTGATAGCTCCGCCCATCATAGGCAGCAGCGAAAGCTGCTAATAGTTATATTTCAATAGTAATCACAGCACCCTTGGGGTAGAATGTGAACTGGATTAGGATTATACTTTGTGCTAAACTATGGCTCATTTTAACCCTGTTTTGTTGAACAAGAACTAGTGACCTAACACAAGCTACAGAGCACGGCCACAAATTACAAGAACTGCACTCACAATTCTTGCTAAGCCACAACCTCTGGCAGAATGAAAATGATATGTATCCTTGGGTCTTCAGGGAAAACCATAGCTTGATATAACACTTGAACCTTCACAAAGACTACTTGGGTTAATCCGTGAGCTGAGAATTGTATTGGTTGTATGGTTTGTTTTAAAAAACAAACTTGAGATAACTGAGGTTCTTCCTGCTTATAATTTTCTAAAAAGCTACAGAGATCGGCCGTCTGATAATATTTTTTTCGAATGGATTTGAAAATGGATCGTTCTATACAACACCAGGAATGATACCAAAACCAATCTGGCTAATAGCTTCAGAGGTCGCAGATGGGCTTAATCTCTTCTGAATTATTCCAGACTTTTTCCCTTCCAGCCAATATGTTACCATATCACCTTTTCCCTAAAATTAAAAACACAACAATAGAGCATTTCAGTAGTGTCAGTAACCATACTTTGTTTCTGAGAACATTTCCTTTATACATTATGGCAATAGAGAAGCAGACTAGCCTACTGCTTTTTAAAATTAAGTTTGAAAAGAGTTACAGGTGGCAAATATTACTATGGACATTAATGAACTCAAAATGTGCATTTTAATTAACAGAGCTGCAAGTAAAGGTTACAAGGAGGGTTTGAAGTTTATTTTCTGCGAACCTAAAGTTCAGTTGAGTCTTACGTTAATTTGAAATGAAACATTATTTACTACTTCCCCTTTGAGGACTAATGATCTACATAATTTTGAGAAATGGCTTAGATATGCTTCTGAAATAAGAAAAAAAATATGAAAATTCTGCTAATTCTCTCTTAGCTTAATAAAGCAGCCAGGTGGCCTTGGACCAGTCTTTTAGCCAATTCACCTCACAGGGCTGTTGTGGGAAAATAGGAGGAGGATGGAGTACTGTGTGTGTTTGCTGCGTTGAGTTATATATTTATAAAAATAATAAAGGTAGGATATAAAAAATATGAACCAGCCTTTTGTCCATGTCCAATGTGAATTCCTCCCTCCCCACTTTGTGTTTAACAGAATAAGGTAAGATAGATAAGATAAGATAAGATAAGATAAGATAAGATAAGATAATAAGATAACCTTTATTGTAAACTTTTTCCATGAACACACTGGCACACATTAAAAAAATAAAATTTTAATGCCTGCTCTCAAAAGAAAATAAATATATAACCATACACGCATGCATATACATATTCTCGCTCGCTCACTCTCTCCCTCCCTCCCTCCCTATATGAGAGAGAGGGAGGGAGAGAGAGAGGGAGGGTCAGATACACTGGGCTAAACAATCTGGACGCTGTCTTGATGTTGTTAATGATTAAGTAACTGATTGATTTACTGAAGATGCTCTGATTTGTCAATCAAATCACTGGTCACCAACAAACAGTGAAATGGCTGTTTATAATAACCGAGTTTTATTTTAGAATGAAACTGCAGATACCTCAGAACTGTGATGGTCTTATACCACATGCAAGTTATTCAAACCTATTCTTAATTCTAACAATCTGCAAGCCATATGCAGGCTTTGCATGGCACATATTCTTTAGTGCTTCACTGGATCCAGGTAATGAATGCAGGGACCTCTGATATATAGCACATCTATCATTCTTAATAAAAACCCTACCCCCTGACAAAAAGGCAATGCCTGTAAGGAAGTTACGCCTTTGTTAGGGAGCAAATTGGAACAAAAGAAATATTAATCAAACAGGCAGAAGTAAGCAGGGTTCTAGGCAATGAATATACGGAGGGAAACAAACTCAAGGAATTAAATGAATAGGGAGAAAGAAAGGATCACCATCTAAACCCAGTTAACACTCTCAGGAAATTAAAAGAGCCTCTCCTGGTATCTGCCTTCCAGTCACTTCTTTCTATTTTCTCCAATAGGGCTGCTGAAAGCTGGAATTTTTTTTAAAGGCATATAGTAATTTTACGTAGTAATTTAAGGCATTGGATTAGAAATGGGGAAAGTGTAAGATCTATTTCTGCCTTGGGCAGGAATCCAACTGGATGTCTTTGAGCCAGGCATTCTCCCAGCCCTGGGAAGAGACAATAAACAACAGAATGGTCAATGTCTGGAATACACTACCTGAATCTATGGTTTCTTCCCCAAACCCCAAAAACTTTAACCTTAGACTGTCTACTGTTGACCTCATCGCCTTCCTAAGAGGTCTGAAAGCGGCGTGCATGAGCACACAATGTACCTACCATCCCTGTCCTAATGTTCCCTTTTATTCGTATCCATTTCATGTAGTGATAATCCTGTTTATACTTATATCTGTTATCTAATATATGCTTGACAAATAAATAAAATAGATAAATCAATGGCAAACCACTTTCTTGCCAAAAAAAAACCCTACAGAGGCTTAGTGCAGGAAATCACCAGGAGTCAAAACTGACTTGAAATCACGTACGAACATATACAGCAGGAAAGAAGGAGCAATCTCAAGTGGGTGTGCCTTCAAGGCAAGTCAGGGTCAAGGAAGAAGTTCTGGGAGTCTTCCTAATCAAGAATTTCAGGCTGAGCATTTTTTTAAATTGCTGCATTTAAATAAATTGGGTGGGTGAAGTTGAAATGTATTTGAATATTAGTAGTCCCAGTTAGTAGTTAGGCTGTTGTTCTAAGCTCTGAGCTTCGCAATTTAGTTGCAAACATTTCATCACCATTCAAGGAGACATCATCAGTCCGCTTTGAATTGTGCTCATCTGTCAGTACATTGAGCTTTAAATACTTTTTTTATGTGATGCAAATGGGTGTGGATGTTGTTTGTTCGGCTATTTCTGAGTCATGATCTGATTTCGGACTGTTTGATTGGCTGGCTGTTGTTACTGCAGCATGGTCTTTGGTTTTAAGTACCATCTATGTGAGGTAAATTAGTGTTCAGATCATGGCAATTTGGTTGCAAACCTTTCATCACCATTTGAGGAGACATCGTCAGTGCGCTTTGAATTGTGTTCATCATGTCATGGGCTAGTTTCAGATTGTTTGATTGGCTGGTGGCTGTTAACTGAGACATGGTCCGATTTCTTGTGATCTGATGGGTTATGAATAAACAACACTAATTTACATCACACAGACAGTACTTAAAACCAAAAATAATGCCCCGGTAACAACAGTCAGCCAATCAAACAGTCTGAAATCAGATCATGACTCAAAAGTAGCCGAACAAATAACATCCACACTAATCTGCATCACATAAAAAAGATATTTAAAGGTCAGCGTTCTGACAGACGAACACAATTCAAAGCACACTGATGATGTCTCCTCGAATGGTGACGAAACGTTTGCAACCAAATTGCCAAGCTCGGAGCTCAGAACAACAGCCTGGATATCTTTGTCTTTGGCATTTTTGCCATCTATAATGAACGTTGAAGCTCTCCTATTTGGTGGTGAGAGAAAACATTTCTCAATTTTCTTCAACCATATTTTATAGCTACATCTTCCAGGATTATAACTTGAGGTTAAAAATAGCTTCTGGAGAACCTCAGCACAAATTAGACTCTAGGGTGATAATATCTCTCAATAATTCGACCAAACTGCAATTCCCAGGGTCCCTGAGGGTAAACATTAAATGCAAATTGGCCCAAGGAGCGATTCAAACATAAATGCAATTCATATTTCAAATACAGACAGAAGGGTTAAAACAAAATCTGCTAAAGAATGACCATTCATTTCCCATTTGGGGAAAGCTTGAACATATTTACCTTGATTTGCAAATTCCCCCGGCACACCAATACATACTCTCCAATCTGTTGCAGCAGCTGGTATGTGGTTGAACTGCACTGTATCTTGAGAGCTAAAGGGAAAATGAGAAGCGGTGTTGCCATTATTTTCATAGTTGAAAAATCCATTTTCAAAGACAATGAACAATATATATCCTGACTCTTAAAACAGCTCATGCTTCTACTATTATGCTAACCTTCAGTCTTACTCTGAAAGCATCTTGGAATACACATAACAAAAGTAGACATACACATAACAAAAGTCAACAAAAGCTCAAAGCCACAGCTCTACATCTGATAGTATTTGTTAAGGTCTTATAATTGTTGACAGAATGATTCTTTTACCTGCCAAGGAGTGCTTCCGACTTACATATAATTTCACTTGGAATTTATTGCTATTCATTGTGTAAACAGCAAATATAAAATCTTCCTCTATATTAGGGGTGTCAAACTCAAGGCCCGTGGGCCCATAGGGTGCTTAGATCTGGCCTGCTGGGCTGCCTTGGAAACAGGAAATGACCAACCCCCAGTGCTTCTGCCAGTGAAAACAGAGCTCGGGGGGGGGGGGGGCTGTGTGCGGCTCCCTGGTCTCTATTTTCAGCCGCAATGGCATCATGCAGCCTTCTGCCAGCAAAAATGGAGCTCAGGGAAGCCGTGTGTGAGGGGCCCCCCACTCCAATTTCGCTGGCAAAGGGCTAGCACAACAAACTAAAAACAAAAGAAAAGGAGAAATGTTTCCCCTTTTGCATTTGAGCATGCAAGAAGGGATAGGAAAGGAGAAAGGGAAAAAGGAAAAACAAAGAAAAAGAAGGAAAGAGAACAAGAAAGGAAAAATAAGGAAAGACGGAAAGGAAGGATAAGGAAGAAGGAAGGAAAAAGAAAAGGAAGGAAGGAAGGAAGGAAGGAAGGAAGGAAGGAAGGAAGGAAGGAAGGAAGGAAGGAAGGAAGGAAGGAAGGAGATTATAATGAGAGTGAGGGAGGGTCTGAGGGAAGTTCTATCTTAGCACTTGGCCACCACAGGTGCCCCCAACACAAGTGATGTAAAGCTGGCTAGCCCACCCCGCCACGCCCGCCCCTGCCCCCAGCCACAACCCAGACGCGGCCCTCAGTGAAATGGAATTTGACATTCCTGCTCTATATTAACCCTTTTATGAAAATTAAGAAATGGAAAAGCTTAATATCCTTCATTTCAAGACATGGGGTTGCTAAATAAGCTTAAGAAGCTCAGTAAAAACACTAATAACTTAAAATTCATGGTCTAACCGAACAAGAGAATTGTAACTCATTCAGGCATCTACAGGAAAACTCTGTGACATAATATATCTAGGAAAGCATTTGGTAAAGTACCATGTAATTTTCTGATTAGCAAGCTAGTTACTATTGATTGGATGGCATCAGTAGTGGGATTCAATTTTTTTTACTACTGGATCTGTGGGCATGGCTTGGTGAGCGTGGCAGGGGAAGGACACTGTAAAATCTCCAGTCAGAGGTGGTATTTGCTGGTTCTCTGAACTATTCAAAATTTCCGCTACCGGTTCTCCAGAACTGGTCAGAACCTGCTGAATACCACCTCTGGATGGCATGTCTATATTGTAGATCTACAACAAACTTAAAAAGTAAAATTAAAAATATTCATCAGTGGTTGAAAATAAATCAAAGGAAGCAAACTGGGCATTTGATGTTTGGTTCTGGCCACAACACTGTATTCTACATTTTTATTAATCACTTGGATAAAAAAAGTGAAAAGTGAATGCTTTTTAAATTTGCAGGCAACACAAATTATATGAGAAAGCCAATGTTCTAGAGATAGAAGCAAAATTCAAAATTACCTTGTTAGACTAAACATGTGACTTGAAAATAATAAAATGAAATTTAGTAGAGAGTTTCTTGGTTAAGAAAAAGACATCAAAAATACAAGTAGAGAATAGAGGAAACTTGTTTACTAATGATATGTCAGAAAAGAATAGCAGGTGATCAGAAACTGAATACGACTTAGCAGTGTGAACTGGATTTAAATAGGATAAATGATGTTCTACATTTCATTAATAAAACTACAATTTCCAAATCATGGAAAGTTGTAGTTTTCAGAACTCTTGATCAGAACTCTTTAAGTACTATGCCCAGTTCAGGACACTGTATTTTTAAAAAAGGATGCCTAGACAAAAGAACCAGATACAAGGCAAGGGAACAAGAAAGTTTAGAAACAAAATCATATAAGGAGAGATGGACAAAGAGAAGATATATTGGCATTTTCCAATACTTGAAGGGATGTCACAAGGAAGATTAAGGTTCGTTTTTTATTGTTCCAGAGTCCCAGACACTGTAATAGACAGGAAAAAGATTTCAGTGGAATGGTAGGAAAAACTAATGATAAGAAGAATTTGATAGCGGAAGTAGATACTAAGGGAGGTAATGATTCATCGGTTGTCTTCAAGCACAATCTGGACAGTTAACTTTCACAGATTTGGGGACTTCTTCCAGCTCTATGATTCTCTTGCAGAGCTTTCCCCAACTCTATTGTTTTTAAATGCATCCCTCAACCTCAAGAATTCTTTGGAGGACACTATTTTAGGAAACATTAACCTAGAAGATAACACCTAATGTTTGAGATTTTTTTACTGAGTATACCGCCTCCAAGTAAAGAGAGGAATTTGCAGCTCTAAATTTGTTAATCTAAGTCGGGTGGGGAAGTATGGCCCTTTTATGACTTTTGTGGCTCAGGAATTCTGGGAGTTGAAGTCCATAAAAGGGCTATAATTCCCCACCTCTGATCTAAAACAGGGATTTAGGACTGTTTTCTATGGCTTTCTTAGACATATTTGTAGTTTTGTAATAACAGTTTAGGATGGCACAGCCTTGCAGACAATCCTTGACTTATTATTGGTTGTTTAACAACCATCCATGTTATGGCAGCCTCTGGAAAGCTGCTTTATGGCTCATAAAGCATAAGACACTTCCAGCCATTGTAAAATGTCACGTGATTTCATTTGGGGGACTGAGCATCCAGCTTGCATTTATGACCAGTTGCAGCATCCTGCAGTCATGTGATTGATGGCATATTTTGCTGGTTTCCAGCATTTTATTATTTTGCCCATTTCTGGCAAACAACCATGTGATTCACTTAATAACTGCATGACTCAGTTTTTTTTACCATATGATTCACTTAATGATTGCCATCAAAAAAGGCAAAAAAATCAGGGCCAATCACAAGGGTGCATTGACTTACATCCTCAATAACGTACGGCCAAAATTGTCCCAAATGTGATTGTAAGTTGAGGATTTCCTGCACTTTATTAGAGAAAGATGCAACAATTTTCCAAACAACTCTATTTCTCTTTATATAACTCCATATCTGAATTAATCAAATAATAATAATTTAAGCACAAGATCACACAGACTGCAAAGAACAGCATGGCAAACCAGCAGCAATGGTGAATCGGAAGAGCTGCAAGAAATACCCTTTGCCTGCCATCAAGAACTGGTGGGACCATAAAATAGAGAAAGACGTAGAAAATGAAGAAGCTAAAGTGCTTTGGGACTTTACAATTCAAACTGACAGACACCTGCCACATTACAAACCCAGATTTAACAATTGTCAATAACAAAGACAGAAATTCTGGATAGTGGACATGGCAGTACCTGGAGACAGACAAAAAGAAGAGAAAGAACTGGACAAAATCTAAAGTACAGTCTTGCCAATAGAAATAGAATGACTGTAGCAAAAAAAGAAAAGGTAGTACCAATACAAATAGGTGCCTTGGATACAATCCCAAAACAACTGGAGCACCACTTGAATACCATAGACATTGATAAATTCACCATCAGTCGATTGCAAGTATCTACATCCTGCAATGGATACCTCTAACATCACCAAACATCCACATTTGCCTATTCCAGGTCCTTGGGAATGACTCAATAGGTGGACAAAAATGCCCAATCCAGTCTGAACATCTGGCTGATTGTGCAATGAATATAAATCAATTTATATAGCCAGTGCCACCCATTTCAGCAGTGACACAGGGAAGTACACAGTAATACAATTTTAAAATGGTAAACATACAGCAGCCAAGATCATTAACCATCATTCACATAGCCAGGAGAAAACACACAAAGGCAGAACCAGGGCCAAGTCTCTAAGGCCCAGTGGTGGGCTGCAGCCAGTTTGGACTGGTTCTCGCTACCCGGTAGTTCTGACTATCAGCTGGCCCCACCCACCTGCTCTAGCCTGTTCTATACAGGGGTGGGATTCTACCAGTTCGCACCTATTCGCTAGAACCAGTTGTTAACATTCTAAGCAGTTCGGAGAACCGGTTGTTAGAAGAAATTACTGGCCTAATCCTGTAAGGAAGGCAGGAAGGAAACAGTCCGGTGTTGCTTACAGAAACTGCCTCTCCGTTAACCCTTATTACACTCTTATTACATTCTTGGCTCTGGAACTTCTCTGGAGTTTTTTTTTCCTCCTTTGCTGGTACTTTGCTTGTGTGAAGTGACCATTCAAAGTTACAATGGCACTGAAAAAAGTGACTTACGACCGTTTTTCACACTTCCGACTGTTGCAGCATCCCCACAGTCATGAGTGGCCAGGTGCGTGCCTCGATGTGAGTGATATTGAGTTGGCCACGCCCAGCCAGTAATATGACCACCAAGCCATGCCCACCAACTTAGCCACGCCCACAGAACCAGTTGTTAAAAAATTTGAATCCCACCCCTGGTCCTATATGTCCTTCTTTTTGGCTCAGCTGAGTCACGCGGCACAGCTGATTTCCACGCCTCAGGGCTGCCCTAGAAGGTAAGCAGCTGAGGTTCAAATTGCTGTATTTTGAACGCTGTGCGCAAGTGAAGCGCATGGTCACAGAGTCAGTTGTTAAACCAGTTGCAGCCCATCAATGCTAAAGCCATACTGAAGGCCAGCAGGATCAGAGACAACCTAAACTCTGAGGGATAATGTTCAAGGGGGCAGGCACCATACAGGAATACCTCATCCTCTGTGCCCTGCCGCCCACAGTTTCTTAGCCAAGAAAACCTGAAAAAATACCCATCCTGCCAGGCTAAGTCAGGAAAGAAATCTGAAGTGGCACCAACTCATAGCTCACTGCTTGATTGTACTGTTAAATACTGCACTTCACCTTCACTGGTAGATTCCATCCTGGAGGCCGTGTTGACTGTGTCCCCAAATAGGCAATACCGTGGCATTTTGGTTCCAACAATTCCTGCCACAACTGGACCTAAAGAAGGCAAGTAGAAAGATTCATTTCGCTCTTGTGCATCAATTACACTTTGTCAGAATGGAAAAGCTAGGCATATAGGTTACCCATATGAGGGGTAATTGCGTCAAATAGGACTAAAGAACAGGGAGCAAGATGTAAAAGAGAGAAGAAGGATAACAAGCGATGATCCAAATGACATAATTCTAAGAAGAAAGTAGATGCTTAGCTGATACAGCTACACTTGGAAAGAAAAGATAGATGGTACCCCATTAGTGCAGTAATTCAGAATAAAATCTACAAAGTTGCTTGTAATCATATAAATTAGTTGGTTGCAACTAGCAAGTAGTCTAAATTTAAGTACCAGAGTTAATGAAACTGAAGCAAATGAGGGAAATTCAATGACCGGTTCAAATGCTAGATCAAAACATTTAAGAATGTGAAACATAATGATCATTTACTTTGCGCCGATTCCAAGGATTACACTACTAGTTCTCCCTCCTATTACCACTTCTTCCCTATTATGAATGAAGGAAATCCACCTGCTGCCATTTTGTCACTAGATAGGTGACATGGCTAGTGCTTCCAGTACCCATATTTCACCTTTGCCAATGCAACATTCATTACCAGTATTAGTCTGAAAGGTGAACAGCCCAATACCTGAGTGGATTCCTGCTCGGATTTTAAGCTGAGTCTCAGGCTTGTGTGGAATCTTAAATGTTTTGCACACCAAAACAAGCTCCAGAGCCATGCTTGCAATTTCACTGGCATGACAAATGCCATTTTCTCTTGGCACTCCCGATACTACCATATCTGAAAATAACATTAAGTACATAAACGTGGACAATTATAATCAATATTCATATCCCAGTTGCAATTTCACACATACATATAAACGAACCTCAACACGTATACAGTCCATAGCATCAGGCAGCACTAAATGGCATTCCCATAGTCTCTATGAAAAATCAATAGCAAAAGTAAATCACTTATTTATAAAAACTATTTCTGGAAGTTTTGTACAAAAAGAAGTAACTATTTGTTTGAGAAGAGCTTTGCAGTTAAGAGAAAGAGTTCCTGGGGAATTTATATTAATTCATAAATATAAAATATAACCATTTTTGGCATGATCAAAACATTCATTATGGTAGGGAAATCATAAATTGAATGGACAGATTTTTAAGTATTTAAAGTATGAAAAATAATTCTAGAACACTGCCCTATAAAACCTTCAGAAAAACATACCAGAATTGCACATGCTTATACGCAAAACAACTCGCACACCAGGAAAGCAAAATATTCTGATTATTGAATTATAGCAGCCATTGTTAAGAAGTTTTCACCTCCTATAGAGTTAGCCAAACACAAAGATTCTTTAACCAAACACTAGTATGGCTAGATGTATCTATCTCATCTTGGCACTGTATTAATATTTTAAATAGTTACATCTCAAATCTACCAATCTCTCATTACATTAAAATGATTTATTAAAATACAGATACCAAGCTGTTTTATGACCCAAATAATTCCGAAATATTTAAAAATAGACAAAGGGGCTTCATAAGCTGTGTAAAAGGCAAAGCCAGTTTTGATATGTACTTTCATTATCCAAACCCGAATGATGGGACCGTTTGTGAAATGCATTGTAAACATTCAAAGTACTTCCTTTGCATTCATTAGTTGGATCCAGTTTATAATAATGGTAATTAAGTTAGTCTTTATTAGCATAATCACAGCAATTTCACTGAGTCAATTTGAAATATAACTATGCCTAACTCTGTAGTTATGCTTCAACATGATTCAGTTAAATTGCTGGGATTTATGTTAATTCATAATATAAATGAGTATTGCAATTCATCATAACAGAAAGACATTAGTTGCATACATTAGTTGCATGACATACACCAATGCCCTGCTCCTAGTGACATGTGTTATTCTGCATGTCACTCTTAATCTTTTCTTCCATGCCTAACATTGATTGACCCATTCATTTTAATGGCTGTAAACCATTCACATGACAGCTATCTTAATCCTAAAATCCTCTGGCTTTTAGTTAAGCCTAGATGCTAAATAATTGGAAGAAGTCCCAGTATTCTCTGCAGGAACAGCCTATCCTCAGAATGCTCTGCTGGAAAATGTAACCTCCACATGGCTGTGAGAACAACTGAAAACCACAACTCATTCACCTTACCACTGTACCTATAATAAATAACTATTAATCCTCATTCTTTCGATCATCATCTTTATTTAATCTAAATGGATCATCGTTTGCATTTTACTGAATCATGATTTAATAATATTAATACAGTTTGTTGAAATCTCCTTTAATTTTACCACCTGAAGTTATTGGCTTCTGTTACCTAATAGTAAGGTTTAGAACTAAAGACAGTTTGAACAACAGGGATATACATGTATGTATGTATGTATGTATGCATGCATGCATGTATCATGCATATATATGTATTTAACTCACAGGCATCTCCTATAGTTTCAACTTTGTAGACATCATAATTATCTATGATTTCATCAAAAGTGGTGTAGAGTTTGTTTAAAAAGTCCACGACCTGGTAAGGTGTACTGGTGCTGGAGAGCTGCGTGAAGCCAACAATGTCACTGGAAAGAAGAAAGAAGCAAGTAAGTCATAGTGTGTCCTATTAGGATTTCAGAATGTTTTGAAATTGACATGAGATTTTCATGACATGTTGCAAATTCTGAACACAGAACAGTTTCCTCCTCTACCACCATTAATCACCACTTTTCTCTGTGCACCTTCAAGTTAGGCCTGGAGACTAAAAGACATGAAGAACGGCTGCAGGATTTGGGTTTGGTTAGTCTAAAGAAAAGAAGAATTAGGGGTGACATGATAGCACTATTTCAGTATTTGAGGGGCTGCCACAAAGAAGAGGGGGTGAAGTTATTCTCCAAAGCGCCAGAGGGCAGGACAAGAAACAAGGGAGGGAAACTATCCAAAGTGAGAAGCAACCTGGAATTAAGGAGAAACTTCCTAACAGTGAGGACAATTAATCTGTGGAACAGCTTGCCTCCAGAAATCGTAGGCCTCCATCACTGGATGTTTTTAAGAAGAGTCTAGACAGTAATTTACCTAAAATGGTATAGGTTCCTGCTTGAGCAGGGGGCTGAACTAAAAGATCTCCTCTTCCAGCTCTGTTCTACTCTACTCTATGCTACTCTACTCTATTGTATTGTTGATTCCAGGTGATTTTCTAGATTAGTCCCTGAAGTATTCTTAGCACTAATGAGGATAATGTTTGCAATCTAAGAGAGCACCAAAGATCTTTCGGCAACATGGCAGAAGTGGTTTGCCATTGCCTACTTCATAGGGCTGAGAGACTGGCGCAAGGTACCCAGCTAGCTTCACGCCTAAGCTAGGACTAGAAATCACAGTCTCCCAGTTTCTAGCCTCCTCAACCACTATATCAAACTGCCTCTCACTGCCACCCCTAAATACGCTGTAATAATTGGTTGCCAATTTTCAGTCAAATAAATGGCAAACTAAATTGTAAAGGAAAGCACGACCAGCATTTACAAACTGTTAGGGATTTGTAGGGATTAATAATGTCATGGCATCTGCTGGATGAGGAAGTATCAAGGATTATGGAATTCAATTTAAGAAATATTATATCCAATGTATGTACTCCATGAGTACTTTTGGAGGCTGTGGCTGTTTCAAAGCACTTTTGTAGCAGAAAATAAGAAACAGATTATTTCTGAGTTGTGCTTCAATGTTTCCGTTCTCAGCAGCCTCAATTTCTTTCTTAATAACTTCTAATGTTATTACTTTGGACTGTAGTTTGAAGAAGGGCATGTAAGTCAGAAGCCTGCTGAATTGCAGCAGCAAGTAATATAAATAACATAAAATATCACTCTTCTATTGAAAAAGACAACCGTGTTTGTTATTTTATAAATGCTCTTAGTCTGTAAAATGACATTTCTACAGAGATATGCTAGTATACAATGTAAAGACTGAATTAGTTGATGAAAGGCAGATAAATTAAATGAAATTTTAATTGGTTGGCAATTTCATTCCCCGTTATGTAACAGTCTAGTCAATTGAGGCTTTAGCATTTCTGCATTCCAACTGCTTTGTCGCTACCCACGGACACATGTGTTCAGTTTTCATCATCAGCACCAATTATGTGCGCTGTATGAATATACATTTGTATTCCATACAACATGTAATTCTACTTCTACTCTTAATGAGTATATGTAGAATTCTAAAACTCATAGGGGGCAAACCCATGTCATTATCTAATGTTATTTCTGGTTACTCTAATTAAACTGAGTTTTGTTATCCAAGTGAAGTTAAATCCTGAAATCCATTCTTAACCTAGATTTTGTTTTGGCTTTACTTTTGATTTCCCAAGTATAGTAGTATTGCATTAGCTCTGCCTACTCTAAGCATTTACACTGAGAGAATCAATAGTTTTGAGTTTTGGTTTCGTTGCTCAAGTGTTGCTTGAGTTAATTCCATCCATATCAATTGCATTAGCATTTTTTTCATTAACACTTGAGAATTGAAAATGAACCAAGAAGATGTTTTAATGAAATTAAAACAAGTACGTGTAAACTATACTGCCCTAATCCTGTAATGTAGTTGCTGAGATTCCAGCAGGTCCCCTAGTGTCAAAGGATGTTGTGAATCTTCCATTTTTTTTAGGACAAAAAAGCCAAAGGGGGTGTGTGTGAAGGGGAGGCCATGCTGAATCATTTAAATTTAATTTACAAGGAGATTAGATAACCTCTTATCTATATATTAGGTTTACATCTGCTCGGTATATAAATCTCTCAGAGTTGTTTTCCCAGTTAGGTATAAATCATGCCCATCTGCAGACAAGCAGATGTAAGCATAAATCAACAGACATTAACCTGCAGAATTTTAATGGACTTGCTTGCTGAATACAGAGATGTACAATTCAGGCCAGTTGTTTGTTTGTTTTTTACAACAGAGGTTTCTCTTAAGAAGCAAAGATCAAATAACCGTTACATAAAACTACTGTGAAGATTATTTCTGTATAATAATTAGAACAACTTCTTTCTTTCTGCTAACATGGCACTATCTCAGTTCCAACATCAAGAGCTTTTAGGATCATACAATTAAAAGAGAAAAGAGAAGACCTGCTAGAGAATACCCATATATCCACCCTCATTTGTTCTGTTTAGCCTGTTAGTAATCGGTCCCTTCAAACTACTTTCAATACACAGCTAATGAGCTTCCCCCCAACCCTCTCTTTTTCCCAAAACAGGAAACCCAATCAAGACCCAGTCCTTAGCATGGAAAAATAGGATGGTTTAGCAGCTGTTTAGATTGTCCACAACGAGGTCTCTAAGGGTTCCATGATACCTTGATGGTGTTCTATGACAGAGAGGGAAATGGAGATGTGAACGTGGCCCATTTTCTCACTAGAGTTTTGCCTCTTGATGAGGAGTTCTGAGATTGTTTTTTTTTTAAACCAAGAGGTTCCGTAGCCTGAAACAAAAAATGTGCATACGCCAGGCATGAAGGATTTCCTTGAAGTAATGAGACTGGTGCCAGCCTACCTAGTCAGCTCTCCCCAGGCGTTTAGAAGTGCCTTGTGGGAGCCAACAGGATATCCAAACCAACATATCCTCTATGTGTACATACTGCATTACATCCCCCCAAAGGATGTTATCCAACTCTTTCTTTCAAAGTCCAACGTGGAATGAATATGCACATAGATAAATAACATGCACACAACATTGTTTCTTTTAATATAGATCATTAAGTATAGTCAAGATGGTAGAAGAATATTTTACTCATCATAAGGACAAATAATAGGTGTGTTCCAATTTGTGGGTTGGTTTTTTAAAAAACAGATAAATAGGCACTGTGTTCTTGTATAGTAGCTTTTCTAAACTTCAACATAGTATGCAGTGCTGTAACTATAATGCCAATTGTGAGAAGATGTAAATGTCTGCCTATAATGTAATTTACAGAACCTCCTTTCAATCTTTCGAAATTATGCACGCACTCCAATTAGCTTGCAATTTAAAAGCAGTTCTTACTTACCTGAAAAATATGGTGGAATTTACATAACTTTGGGCCTGTGGTGGTTTCCCCTGCCTTAAATCATCTGCAACCTGTTTTGGCAACATACCTGTTTTACATAATTAATGCAATTACTATTGCTATCATAACATGGCAATTGAAACAGAAATATGTCCACAGCGGGAAAACTATACCCACTTGAAATATGCAAGTATTTCATTACAGAAAATAAACTGCAGGTAGTCCTCAACTTACAATAGTTCATTTAGTGACCATTCAAAGTTACTGAAAAAAGTGACTAATGACTGTTTTTTCAGAGTTGTGACCTTTGCAGCCTCCCATGGTCATGTGATCAAAATACAGATGCTTGGCAATTGGTTCAAATTTATGAAGATACCTTTTGGGACCTTCTGAACAAGCAGAGTCAATGGGGTAGCCAGATTCACTTAACAACTGGGTTAGTAACTTATCAACTGCAGTGATTCACTTAACAACTGTGGCAAGAAAGGTTGAAAGATGAGGCAAAACTCACTTAACAAATGTCTCATTTAACAACAGAAATTTTGGGTTGAGTTGGGGTCGTAAATCGATGACTAACTGTATGTTTCTGTCGTGCCCCTGTCAGAATCTGATTCTGAGGGGGAGGCCTGAGCAGGGAATGGGGGTGTGAAAGAAACTGGGGAAGGGCACAGTCTGGCTGGGCAGAGCAGGAGAGAGGTAGAGCAAGGCAGAGGGAATTCAGAGGAAGATCCAGGCCCACCCCCTCTTCAACCTAGCAGGGAGGAATGGAGAGGGGAGCAATGTGAGTTGCGTGGCTTATGGGGGAAGAAAGGGCCCCGATTCCCTTCATTAGCTGCAGCTGGGAACACAGTGTTTCAAAAGGGAGTTTGTGCACAGCAACTTGTTGGAAACAAATCATGTATTATCTTGTTTTGTCGAGGCTTATCTGGGTTTCTGGTGTCTTCCCAACTGTGTGTGTTTTGTTGGCTTTTGAAGTCTGCAATTCCTTATCCTGCCCTGTCCAGTTAATTGCTGAGTGTGGTTTGTGTGGGTTTTTATTTACAGTTTATAAGTACTTTGTTTTCAGACTGAATTTCCTCCACTTAAAGACTGTTCTTAGGACAGTTTTTTCTCCAGACGAAGGTAACTGGACATTGGGGGCAAAGTTGGAGGTATTAAAGGGACTTTTCTTACTTATGTGACTGTCTTGCCTTTGTGCCATGTCCTGGGTCATCACAGTTTCAATTTACATCAAGAACCTTGAACTAGTTCCTTTATTTTAGCACTATCAAATGGATATGAAATTTCTTTTCCATTTCTCAGGTTTCTAGCTATTAAACCAAAACATCCTAAAATGTACTATATACTGAGATCACTGGGACACTTTGAAAACAATATATTGAAGCTTTAGAATTTTCTTTGATGTTTTCACTACAAGCTGAACTTACAACTTATGCCAGTTTAGCAATTTAACTGAGTTAATTGTACACCTGTTAAGCAATGCAAGTAGCAAAAACTAAGTGAAAATGTCAAAGAATTCTCCCTGGTATATAATTTGGCCGAATCTGAATGATGATGCTCAAAGAACAAACAAATTTAAGAACGTTTCCAATGGAAGCTTAATAATACAAATCCTTATTTGTCTACTTTCGACAAATATCAGCTTTCATTTGTTTCTTTTCCACTTTTTTTCTCTATCTTTACTAACTCACCCTATCTTATAAAATTGTAAAAAGGGGAAATCAGAATACTTGAATCACTGAGGAAATCTAAAATCTGTTTTCAACAGCATATATTAGTCACTATTTCTCAAAATAAATTGTATTCCTGTTGATGCTGATCACTTACTATACAGCAAACGGTCTGTCTTCTGTTTTTCATATGTTAAATCCTGTGTTCTTTCCGCCACTAACACTTCCAGGTGCTTGCTGTATTTCTCCATCTAGCCAAAATAAAAATGCATTCAACTCAAGCAACCACGGAGCATATTCAGTGAGAAATAATCACATTGCCAACAGGCTCTGAGAAAATTTTGCACAGCTTTGCCCACGCATCTTCTGCAACAAAACAGAGGTGTGCATCTGAAATCATTTTGATGACACATGGCAATGATTAAAATGCTTAAAGGGGGACCGCTTATATAGGCAGTCAAGAAATGTGCTTCAAAGAATACTTAAGCCTTGCCATCCAGCACTAGAAAGTGACTGTATTATGAAGTTACATTTCAAGTTGCCTTTTTATTTTCTCATAACTGATGCTATAGTATTGGAAACATTGTGGAGAAGAAGGAGAAAACTAACAACTTTCTCCTTAGTTTATCCATTATCATTTTTGGGCACTGGGCAACTGGAACAATTAAAATGTCTTGTTGACTGCTAGTAGATCTGGGCTGCAAAGTTTTGGATGACCACTAGGGAGCTGAAAAGAAGCTCAGAAAACTCTCTTTGGGACCGTCTACTAGATTAGAGGACACAAGATGTTTTGCAGTTTAGATCTGATAGCCCTAGTCTTTTTTCCCCCTTTCTCTTGTTTATTCCCCTTTCTCTCATTCTTAGGGAGAAGAGTTCCCAAACTCTACCCTTTCTCCACAAATGTGATAACAGTCCTGCAGGAGAGTCACAAATGCTAGTTCAAATGTAGTCCTTTATTTATTTACAAATGTCTCCGAAAATAAAAGCTTACTCTCTAGAAATTATGAAAGATGGATAATAGAAGGCAATGACTGAGCAATGGGATCCATCAAGAATATCAACAGCATAAGATGGATGCTTAAACATTTAGCATAATGTAAGCAGAAAGGTTGTATCACTCTTTACAAAACAAAATGCTTCCTGATTTATAGGTTGTGGCTATGATAGCTGTGGCTATTACTATATCATTTGGTTAAATTTAGCCACAATCTCACGCCAGATTATAATGGATTGTAAGAACAACCTTGAGGAGGAAAAGGAAGAGCCACAGCCAAGCGTTAGATAAAAGAAATTTCATTCCAAAGAAGAAGTTTAATTTGAGAGAGCATCTTAGACTAGTCTTGCAAGGCCAGGGATCTCTAAATTTGGCAACTTTAAGACTTGCAAACTTCAACTCCCAGAATTCCTCAGCCAGCCATGCTGAGGAATTATGGGAGTTGAAGTCCACAAGTCTTAAAGTTGCCAAGTTTGGAGAGTCTTGCTCTAGGTCAAGGCTGTCAAACTCCTGGCCTGTGCGCCGAATGTGTCATGCGCTGACCATGCCCATACCCTATTTAGCAAAGGGGGAAAAAGTCCTGATACGTCATGTGACGATGTGAGTTTGACACTCCTGCTCTAGGTCAAGAGAGGGAAGGGGGAATGACTATGTCACATAAGCCCACTGAGGTGTGCCTGTCACTCTCTCTGCCTCCATAGGCAAGCTGAAGTTTCTCAGTGGTATTTAAGAGTAGTTTCTTGTAGAGTGTGCTGAAGTAATCAAGCCATGAATTAACTAAGGCATGTGAATGATTGACTCAAGGGCATCCTAGTTTAGGGAAAATACAATTGGCACCCCAAATGAAACCAAAGGCCCTCCTGGCCACAGCCACCACCTGCTCCTCAAGCAGAACCAGAGGGGACTAACAGCTTGCATGCTACTTTTTAATGGAGAAATCAAACATTGCTCAAATGATCTTATGATCATTTGATACTCATCAGAATAGAATTTTAATTATAAATTTAGTATGCATATCCCTCACTGCATATCAGCCATAGTAGGAAGACCAGACCAGGAAATTAAGTCCACAGGAAGGTTAATTTTATTGGCCATGGCTATAAAAACAGAATTTTCCAAGTCTTCTTGTGCTGGGTCTCCTCCTCATATTCCTTATAGTTCAGGGCACTAGTGGGAGGTATCTATCTCAGCTGCTTCGAAAAATTATCACGTAGTTTTGGACTTAAAAAATGCCCCAGCCCTTTTGTGCCTGGGTAATGGTTCTTGCATCTCTCAATCAAGTAATCTGAAGTAATGTGAATACAGGAAAAGGGAGTATGAGAACTGAGAAAACGGAATGAGTAGCAGTGACAGATCTAAATTTATTTATGTATTTATTTATTTGATTTGTCAATCAAATTAGGCTTACTTCCAGATGCCGAGTCCAGCAGAGAGAACTATTGGAGTGGCATAGATGACATTTTGTTGGAAAATATCAATATGTTGGTAAAAGTTTGAGGACCTGCTTGTTTTTTATTGCTTTTTTCTGTGCATGACATTAGTTATCTCAATATTAGCAATGTTTAGCTGAATATGTTAGCAATTAATAACACATATGGAAGGGACCGCATTATGAAAGGTAACTATAGAACATTTTAATGATGTTCAAATGTATTGAAAGGTTGGAGACTTGGAAGGAAGAAATCTAATATAATTAAAGTAATAACCATGATTCTCACCAAAGTCATCATCATGTCAACTGGACTAACTTTGTTTGGGTTCATTTTACATAACAATTTCCTCACTTGCTCAAAAGTAAGTCTTTGTGATGGATTGCCTTTTCTACATTTCCGGATGAGCTGCCAAAAAAATAAAAGAATATAGTATAGTAATTCAGTCATTCCAGTTCAAGATACCTACCTTCTGATCTTTTCTTTCTATCATTCATCATATGTCATCCAATTAAGAATGTTGACAAATCCCAGTTTAATTCAACTCCAGACATAACCTATGTGCAATTCAGCCATATTTTCCTCAGTTTTAAACACTTCCTGGCTTTTTTACTACTAAATTTATCTCTCCCTCCCTCTCTCTCTTTTAGAAAAAAATGTTATGCAGCCCACTCAATCAACTCTGAGTTGCTAACTAGCAAATTATAAAGCAAATTATAAAGAAAAGTCAATCCTGACAAATCTGAATAACAATAACTAAAATACCTAAATCCTGTCTACTTAAATCAAATGCCCACTCAGAAAGGAGAGTCTTCATAGCTTTCTAAAAAGCCAGGAATCCACCTTTAAATCTCTCCAGACAAACTAGCCATCTAAAAATAAATAGGCACTTCCATTTACCTCATCAAAGTGATTTTCCCCCCCCACTTAAATAACATTTGAGCCAATCTGGATTGTGATTAGGTTGTGGGGGTGAGGGGTGGGTGGGATTTAACTTTTTTCCTAGCAACAGTCGCAATGATTCCTCTCCTCAAATCTATTATGAGCCCTGGATTTGATGGTATGAGGAATAGTGCTGGTTGGTTTTGCTTGTAACCTCCTTCCTGGACAACCTATTCTGATTGGTCACATCAAAATTGTTGTTCAATAAATACAGATACCTTAAATGTATTTCCTTTTATGTCTCATTGCATTCAAAGAACTGAAAGGATGATGATGATGATGATGATGATGATGTCAATGTCTATCTCTTGGATTTTATAACCATAGAGAGGATGGATAATAGGCATTAGCATTTGTTTGTGTATATATTAAGTAAGTTATTTAATACATGTTGAAGACTTTTGTAGGAAAAAAAAGGTCCATCATTTCAGTACCTGGAGTTAGTTTGGCTTTAATTCCCAAGAAATACTTCAGAATAGGCAGGGGAATGAATACAGCAGCTATTTGTACCTTATTAAAATATGCTTTATTATAGTATGCTATGCAACGGGTCATTGACAGGTGCTGCATTCACAGTTTCAAGTACCAAAAACGCATATTTTTTGGAAACACATTCAAACCACTGCACAGTTCTTTTATATACGCAAGTCACACGGGTGTCCATGATCGGTGGGGCTAATTATAAAATACGTATGCATGATAGTACAACAACCCTGACCTGCATTCTGGTATCACAGGGGAAATTCAAATGTAAGAAGATGGGATTCTCATCATGGCACTACAGTACTCCATCCAGAGACACTTGCTGAGATGGCTGGCCATAAAAATTGAACAAATAAATTCAAATACTGTAATTATTTTGACAAACTCTCACTTTAATGGGAATGCCTATGATTGATCTTGTTTCCTGTTACTTTTTATATATCAGAGAATTCACCTGAATTATTTTAAACTTCAGTTTTGAAACCAAGACAAATCAGAAATAAATCAGATTGTATGTTATTGATAATTTAATCAAATACCTATTTTTTAATTTATCTGGCTTTACAAATAGCATCTTCTAATATGAGTTAAAATAGACTTTTTACTGTTTTTGCTAGATATTCTCAGTGAAATGAATGAGGTGACAAGGAACTCTTGCTGGTGTTTTTTTAAATACTTAATATCCTCAATTGCTGAAGGCTTTGAAAATTGTAGGAGTGACTCTGGGAACAAAATAGTTAACTCTTGCATACCATTTCTCTGATCTATATAGTATATATCTCCTTGTATGTGTGTGTGTTTACAAACACACATATGCACATGCACACATTCTGGGAGATGTTCTTAGTTCATTTGGAAAAAATGCATTCTGTAGATAGATTACTGTATGGCTGAAATATCAGAGCAGTTGCTTCTAGGGTAATTAAACAAGAACAAGAATGAAATTAAAGTATGGCACAGTGATTCTTCAATGATGAGCAAACATTTGATTTCTTTTTTCTTTTTTTAAAAAAAATAGATCCAGCCTAAAGACATATCTTTTTGGCTCGCTGACAGCTATCTTTTAAATGGAAAAGCCAAAGCTCCATAATTATTAAATATGATTGTGGGACTGACAGATTATAACCAACAGAAGTCTTAAACCTCTAAGGACTGCAAATTAACTGCATCATTTGCTGCCTTCTGTTTCTGTGAGACAAGCTGAAATATCAGTTTGTGACAATAATACAATTTAAAAATATATATTAATGTCCTTCACTGTTCCATGACATTTAAATGAGAAATTGGAAGAGCAACATTAGTTGGTTTGTGTTTTTAATAAAAATAAAACATTTCATTTCTTTCAAAGGGAATATGCACAGGAATCATAAAAGTTGTCAGCTTTTATAGATTAAACTGTGTGCTTCATTTTCTCCTTAACAGCAACTGACTTGCAGATACTGTTAAGTACAGAGGGAGTATCAATATCATGAAATAATAATACTCATACTAAGGCACAAATAGCAGGCCCATATGGTGATTTTTAGGGATATAAATTACAAAGATACAGTAATTCACTCATAAAGAAGACAGAAAAGATTCCAAATGTTAAATTTACCTCTATATATTCTGTGGCACAGGGACAAGCATTTTCAGATTTTTCAGATATTAGTTCTGCCAAAGGGAGGCACAAAGAATATTTTTCTGAATGTGTATCATCCTTCTGCAAAACACAGACAATACTGGTGTTTTTTCACATATAGCTATACAAATATAGAAATAGACAGAGTGGGAACCTAGGCTATTGCAATCAGTGTTAAGAACCGGGGTGGTGCAGTGGTTAGAATGCAGTACTGCAGGCTAACTCTGCTCACATCAGGAGTTTGATTTCCTCAATCCTGACCGGCTCAAGGTTGACTTAGCATTCCATCCTTCCAAGGTCGGTAAAATGAGGACTCAGATTACTGGGGGCAATATGCTGACTCTGTAAACTGCTTAGAGAGGACTGTAAAGCACACTGTGGTACATAAGTCTACACTGTGGTATATAAGTCTAAGTGCTATTGGTATTAAGATGTTACGTGCATCAGGCCTCTCTTTTAGGAACTGAATGCTTCAGCTATCATTCTTTGCACAGTGCATTTAGCTTTATGGCCCTGCTTGTCAAGGTTTGTAGAAGGTAGATGTATGGACTCACAAACTGAGTTTGTTATGGTTATTATTGCAACTCTAGACTGGAAGTGATATTGCCCCTTTAAGAGGCAGATTTTGCACATTTGATCTATTATTGCACATTTCAGCCATTGCATGTAAACATTCTATATAGGAAGGTCCTTGCCCATCATTGGTGATCCCAGATCAAATTAAAAATTATGTAATTTTGAAGGGAAATTCTAGGTGCATTAATGAGCCATGGTGGTGCAGTGGTTAGAAGGCAGCATTGCAACTTCTGCTGACTGCTAGCTGCAGTTCAGCAGTTTGATTCTCACAGGCTCAAGGTTGACTCAGTCTTCCATCCTTATGAGGTGGGTAAAATGAGGACCTAGATTGTTGTGGGCAATAGGCTGACTCTGTAAACTGCTTAGAGAGGGCTGTAAAGCACTGTGAAGCGGTACATAAGTCTAAGTGCTATTGCCATTGCATAAATTATCCTTTAAATAATAAAGGATTTTGCTCTAATTTCTTTGGTTTATGTTTACTTCCTGAGTTGTATAAAGAGGCTTAGTTAGCTTTCTGGGAGTCTATTTTTACTTTAAATGTAGTTCATTAGTTTTATGCAGAGTGCTGGGTTGTGTTAATGTTGAATGAATTATGTCCTCTGCTTATACTGAATTGCCACAGCTAAAGAGGAAGCAGGTATCAGAAATCCAGTGGATATACACATTTACCCCAAAGTCTTCAAGGATACCAATAAGATTAACTTTAATGAAGAACCATATTTTATGGCATTTCTTACCAGTGATGGATCACTTCTTGTTGCTATTTCTAAAAGAATGATAGCATAGCTGTAGGATTGAAGCCAAAACATTATAAGATAAGAGGAAGTTATTAAAAAAATTGAAAGAAGTCAAACAGACTCTAATCTAGCTCAGACTAATTGCAACCGAGTCCTCTGAAAACAATACAACTTGAGTTTCCTTGCTTTCAAAGAGACAGTGCCATATAAATAAGATGAGCTGAATACAGTAGCCTTGTCTCTGCAATAGATCTCATTAATGAAGCCTTTTCATCACAGCGGATTGCTGCTTTGTCTCCTTTAAATATTTAGTCATCTTCCCTCACATAAACATTTCAGCCTATTAATCCTAGACTTAGTAACTGTAAACATATTGCAAATTTTTATGACATGTTACTAGTACGCTGATATTATTTCATGGTATCAATGTAAGAAGATATGCAGAATTACAAAGTATTGATTAGAAATAAATGACAACTATCTAGCATCTCCAGTTAGCCAGCAGGAGAATTCAAGTTCTCTGCACACTTTTTCTTTATAGACACATCTAAATGTATTTAAGCTTTGTGTACTACTAAAAAAAGGACCAAACAAACAATGTGGGCTTCAGTAAATTAATAATCACATCCAAATGTTAAATGAGTATTAAAAACATGCCAGAGACTCATACAAACTGTATCCTTTTCAGATAAGGATCAGACCTGGGTATGGAATGGAAATGGCTCTGGTCTGATGTTGAAGTCTGATGTTGGTGAGATGGTGGCTGTGCATCTACCCTTGCTTTACCTGACCTCTCAGTGGCTTTTGATATCATTGACCATGGTATCTTTCTAGATTGACTCAGGGGATTGGAGCTGGGGGGTACGGTGTTGGGCTAGCTTCCCTCCTTTCCTTGAGATTGATTTCAATTGGTGGTGACTGGGGAGAAGAGTTTCCACCTCCATCCCTATTCTGTAGGGTGTTGTAGGGATTGGTATTCTCCCCTCTTTCATTTAACATCTACATGAGATCACTGGATAAGCTCATACATCATCATGGGAAGAGATCAGTATGATGATATCACCCAATTGTACATCCCTGCCTCTGGATAATTAAGCAATGGATATCTTATCCTAAATCTGAATATTGTGAAGATATGGATGGGAAACAACAGTCTTCAACAGGTAAGACTTAATGGCTCTGGGTTTTGAGGCCCTCTGATCCTAGGACTATCCTATCTTTGCTACTGAATGGGGATGTATTGCCCCAAACAGACCCTATGTACAATGGGTGTGTGTGTGTGTGTGTCCTCCTGGACTCATGACTCCTTCTTGATGAGGTAGCAGTTGTGGCAAAAGGACCTTTGTGCAATTTCATATTGTGTACACATTCCTAGATCAAGAAGACCTACTCACAATCACTCAGGTCCTGATCACCACTTTGTTGGACTACTCCAATGAGTTCTACATGGGACTGCAAGCAGCTATGTGAGTCTCTTGCAGAATGTTCTTTATATCTCTACTCCTCAAGCGGCACTATTCACCAGTTTATTTTCAGGTTCAATTTCAGTGTGCTGATGTTGACCTCTAGAGTTCTTCATGGCATGGGACCAGGTAATTTGAAGGACTGCCTCACCCCAGTTTCATCTGCTCATCCCACCGGCTGCAGCAGAGAGGGTATGTTCAGGTGTCATCATCTAGGGAGCTACATTTAGTGGGCCCTGCATAGTGGGCCTTCTCACCCATATTGTGGAGTTTTCTCCCCACTGAAATGAGGTTGGTTTCATGTCTTCTGATCTTCCGAGCATCCACAAGACCAGGTTGTGTCAGCATGCCTAGGGACCTCGGAGATGGGTGAGCTAGTAAACTGGCTCCATTATTGTTAACATTTCTTCATCTACTTTTCACTTTAGCTTAGTTTTTTTTATAGCTTTTGATGTTTTAGTTCGGGGGGGTGTCTCCAAACGTGGCTACTTTAAGACTTGTCAACTTCAATTCCCAGAATTCTGGGAGTTGAAGTCCACAAGTCTTAAAGTTGCCAAATTTGGAGAGCTCTGATTTAGTTAATAATTATGATTTTTAGCTTTTTTATTTTTTTAAGATACAGAGTATAGAAGGGATATCATCCAAAAACACAAATGCATTTTCTAATGCTTAAACATACCATAAGTTATTTTCTCTAAACTAAAGTGTTCATAGCATGATACGGAATTACTGATGTTATGTAGAAGGGGGAAAGTATCCCTAGACTATACTATTGCACTCTTGTTATTTGAAAATGTGTTCCTCTACTCAGTGTTGCAGGTATTCAAATACTAAACCACTTGTCTAGAAGTGTATCCTGATCAGGGCTGGTGTTTCCCCATCTCAACAGCTTTAATGTCTTAAGGTTGCACAGACGTTAAAATTGCTGAGGTCTTAAAGTTGCTGAAGTCGAGAAACAATGATCTATGGCAAAGCTGGCTGAGGAACTCTGGGAGTTGAAGTCCACAAGTCTTAAAGTTGCCAAGGTTGGAGACCCCTGATCTATGGTATTAAAAGTGTAGCCTACTACAACAAACACTTCATTCCTTCCAGAGGTGGTATTCAGCAGGTTCTGACCAGTTCTGGAGAACCGCTAGTGGAAATTTTGAGTAGTTTGGAGAACCGGCAAATACCACCTGTGACTGGAGATTTTACAGCATCCTTCCCCTGCCACACCCACCAAGCCACGCCCACAGAACCGGTAGTAAAAAAAATTGAATCCCACCACTGATTCCCTCTATTCCAAAATCTGAATGTATGCTTACTATTTTTTAATTTTCCATATATTCACTGAATCGGTTAAAAACACGTACATAGTAAGTACACATCCAAATTTTCCAAAAGATTTACCTTGCAGCAAGTAGAGGCTGTGTCAGCTTCTTTTAAGGATTCATGAAAACATAGTTTGACCAAGGGTGCCTAAATATTTGCGTGCAACATAAGCAGTTACGGTTTAGAGGATTTGAGGAGAGAGAGAGAAGAGAACATTCAACTGGCCTACCATTATTACAGTCCTTGCACCCCGTAGAGGGAATAATCTCACAATCATTTCCTTCATGGCAATCAGGATTATTCCCTCTGGCAAAGATACCTCCACGGCCACCCTGCTGATTCATCTTCTCGGTGATGAAATAGAATCAGACAAGGCTTAGATACAGAGGAGTCTTATCTGTAGAATGTGGAGGCTTAAGAAATGCAACCAGCACCCTCAGACACTGAGCAAATGCGTGAGATGACTAAGAGCTTAGATGGAGCTCAGAATGTTTGAGAATGGCTTATTGATTGGTCAGCAAATGAAATGGTAAGGGTAATTTTACGATTATTCTTCCACACTAAAACATTCTAAAAATATTGACAACCTGACTTCCAGAGCTCTGCACTCCTCTGCAGAAAGCCATCCTATATTTGTGGAAGATAAATGCAAATAGCAGCCCAGCAACAAAACGAGCAAATCTCCCTTGCATTTTTTTATGCATTGATTGCAACTGAAGGGGGATTTAGTTTCATAAAACATCACATATGGCTTAGTCAGCCTATTGTATATTGTAAAAGGGAAAAAAAATTATCCTAAAGATAATATTTTGAACTTCTTGCCTATTTGCAAAACAAGCAGCCACCCCAGAAATGTAAAATTGTGTACGTTCATTCAATAAAAAGAATAAAGCAATCCATATTTATAGATATAGGAAGGTAACCATAAGTGAACGTATTGTCCTCACCTATACACATCTGCAGCAGGGGTTGGTTCAAAGTTTGGCATGGAGAGAGCTTCAGGAGCCAAATATACTTGATGAGCAATACTGGAATTCATCCCCGAATCCTCTTTTCTATAGGATTGTAAACCATAGTCTGCCACAAAGAAAAGGAACAAAGAGACTATCTTTCCCTTGAGGTTTTGCAATCTATTTTGATCTAGAACCATCTAAACATGCAAATCAGTACAAAGACATTTCCAATTTTAGAACACAAATTAATTTATCTGCAAATTTCTCAGCCAATTTTGGATATGTAAAGAATCCTCCCGATAAGAGGATTTCATGTTGCTTTACATCCAGGATCAGTATTTAGCATGCAAAGTTTTGCCGTGTCTAACTTCAGAATGAATTTGAGAGCTGTTTTTTGAGAAGGCGTTGAAATATATCTATCACTATAAACATCAACATATGATGGCACTTGGAATTGGTCTCATTTGTTCATAGAATCATAGAGCCAAATCTGATTGATAATGTTATCATGCCTGGAAGAAAGGACGTGTTTCAAACAAAAATGGGACCAGAACTGCAGCCTGTCATAGCTGCAGACAGATCTCCACATCAGTGGTGGGATTCAACTTTTTTTACAGCCGGTTTTGTGGGTGTGGCTTGGGCGTGCTTTGGATGTGAACGCGCGCACAGAGGGTTTGATATTGACCTTCTCCTGCAATCCTGCACTCTCCCTGTGTGTTCAACTACTGATGTACGGCAATCTGCTGTGCCGCGCGAAGCAGCTGAGCTTCAAAACCAGGAAATAAAGGTCAGTACAGAGCCAAGGCAGGTAGGCAGGCCCAGCAGCTGATCATCGGAGCGAATCAGTTCGCTCACAGATGATCCTCAGAGCTACCAATTCGGCCAAACCGGGCTGAACCATTAGAATACCACCCCTGCTCCCATGTTTCCAGCTGAATTCTAGCAACACAGAACTGATTGCTTGAATATGTATTGATAGGCAAATCTGCCCTCTTTTGAAAACCTTCTCAGACTCTCGGGGAAGAATAGCAAGCTGAAGATGATTCCCAACAACTGCAGCAGTATGTAGAGCCAGGGAGGAGATCAGCTCTTTGTAATTCCTCTCTGAACAAGGAGAGGACTTGAGAACAGCCACAAGTGCTCCAAAGTTGCTCCTCAAAGAGCTCATTTGCTGCATTTGGAGAGAAGATGATAAATTACTCAAACGGTTTATACCTGTTGCGACAGTCAGTTTTAAAAATATTTTTTCTTACCCTGCTATATTCTAACTTTCTTTTCTATTTCTCTTTTCTTTTCTTTCCTGCACCTTCTTTTTTCATTTTATTTTTTAGTTTGTATTAGCTTTTATTGCAGCAAGTGTAATTTTAGTAAAATTACTTTAAAAAATCCTTTTTCAAACAATATTAACCCACAAATACCAAGTAGACTCCATGATGAACTGAAGACTTGAACCTGAGTCTTCCTAGTCAGCAAGATTCCTGTCTGGTAACCCTAACATTGTCATTTGATGTAACATTGTTTATCCAGTAGTAACTAATTTAGTCTCCTAAAACTTAGTTGAAAATACTTTCATCTTCTTCTCTTCTTACTATACCTGAAATCTTACAAACCCATCGATCATCGATAACACAGTTCCTTGATTTCAGCTGTCCATGATAAATCCGATGATGGTGAAGATACGCCATTCCTTGGGCAATATCAGTGGCGAAAGAAAGCCTAATAGAGGATGGAGCAATGGTTAGCATTAATATACATTAAAGAAGAAGGAAAAGGAGAGGAGGAGGTAGAGGAGAAGGAGATGATAAGATTTAAAAGAACTCAATAGAACAAACAGGAAAGTGTTCAATTATAACTGACTTACACTCCTCAATATCCTCTCCTACACTAACAATAATGAGCCATAAAGGAAACATTCATTCATATTGTTCATTCCTTTCCACCCCACCACCACCAAATGCATCTTCTCTTTCTCATGATAGCAATAGCAATAGCATTTAGCTTTACATACCACTTTGTAGTGTTTATTGCACTCTCTAACCAGTTTACAGAGTCAGCATATTGCCTCCAGCAATCCTCAATTTACTGACCTCAAAAGGACGAAAGGCTGAGTCAACCTTGAGCCCATTGGGATATAACTCTTGGTTGTGAGCAGAGTTAGCTTGCAATACTGCATTCTAACCACTGTGCCACCACAACTCATACATCACACCCAATTATTCCAGCATAAAAAAGTAACTTGAAAGACACTAACGTAAGAAGGGAAGGATAAAAGGAAGAAAATATATCTCCATGGCCAAAACTATTTATGCTAAATTCAATTCCTTCCTTTTCTTGGACTGTGGATTTTATTCCAAACTGACATAAGCGTTAATCTGTATGGAGATAAATCTGCAGACTATTGCATTTTCTCAAATATATTAACCTTGGCTAAATTTAATCATTTTGTATATGAAAAAATAAGTAACTTTTGAGTGGGGAATAATTATCTCCATATTTTATTAAGGTAACTGAAAAAAATCTGGCTGCATGACAAGGAACGAGTTTCTGGAACATGCATGTATTGTAATTATACAGACATTTGCTTAATGGTAACTTTTTGCCCACTGAGTTTTATCCAACATTTATTTGTTTGTATTCCATCTTTATTATTTTGCAAATAATTCGAGGCAGTGAATATATCCAACACACCTTCATCCTCTTACTTTCTTCACCAGAACAACCCTGTGAGGTGAGTTGGGCTGAGAGTGACTGAGAGTCACAAAACTGGCTTTCATGGCTAAGGTAAGACTTGAACTCGTGGTCTCCCACTTTTTAGCCTGGTGCCATAACCATACACTAAATTGAACATTCCCATAGATAGAGGAGTACGGGGTTGGAACCTACTGAATAAAATGACTAGTATGAAATCACAGTGTTCAGTGGTATATAATATTTCTGGAAAATGTCAATACATGGTATGATTTATATTAGCATAATACAAGCTACGTATGAAGTCTAATATCTGTCAGCAAAGGTAGCTTTCTGTATCTTTTCACAGCCCAGATTCGGTAGCCCTACAAAATCAAAGATATATAAAGAGGTCTCCTAAAATGTTTTATGAATGTTTCAGATACAGAGCTTGGATTCTGAGTAAAATCTTAGCCACTGTATAACCTTATTTTAGAACAGCTAAGGTGAAAAAAAAATGTCTTGGATTTCTAGATAATAAAGCTCTAAAGAAATAGTCAAAGAAAACTGGGTATGAGGTCAGGACAAGAAGTTATTTTTATAAGAGCAACCTTCCCGAACCTGATTTTCGTGTGGAAGTAATTTGCAGTCCAATATACATAGTTGAAAACCAGATTAAATAAGAGTGTACTAGACATGACTGAGAGCTAATAATTAGGCACTTATCTTCTGAAACTGGCCACTTAGAATCCTAGGTATTAGTGTTTTCTAACTTAGGCAACAACCATTTTTGACAATAACATGTCATGTGAGTGCTTCAAAATAATATTGAAATATCTATTAATTAGGATGTATCAATGCATTTTTTTTTAAAAAAGCTGTATTTTGTTCAAAATCTACAAGTTACAATCTTGTATAGGTTTATGTTTCTCAACTATTTTGTATAGGTTTATGTTTCTCAACATTTTGTTATCCTCAAATTCAAGCATCTGCCCACAAGCAATGCAATTATGTAAACTCAAGAAAAGCAGCTATTTGAAGGTATGACAGAAAAGCTTTCCAACAAAACAATTCCTTTTGAGCTAGATTTCATTTCACATTCGTGATAATTAAAGATTAGAAAATTTGTCCTCGTTATTTTATTCAGAGAGTTGAAGGCAAGAATACATAGCCCGACATTCCTCTTGGGTATGATAAAATTAGAAATGATCCAAGGTGATTTTTTCCCCTCACATTTTCTAGCATTTCTTATACAGCAAACAGTTAACTAATTAAAGGAGGTTTAAGTTAAGGGACATCTTAAACTCACTGGCTACTGTTCTCCTTAGAACTAGATTTATATAATTCAATGTCTAGAGTCTTACTTAATAGATGTATGCAAATATAAAAAAATTGAGAAAACGTTTCATCCATAATCTATGATCATGCAGTTCTGTCAGTAAGTTCTGTCAAGGAATCAGTAGAATTTATTTTCGTTACGTGTTTAATTCCTAATAGTTTTCAATACAATTGGAAGATATACATTTATTTTTCCCCTCACCCACCCACCCTGCTTGCAAAAGTATGTGTCTTCAAACTCAGACCACAATCCTATTTGCATGAAAATTCTTGATATTTGTCAGTCACACTCAAGGCTTTCCTTCTGAGCAGGACGAGAGTAAGTTTCTGGATTAGCTATGATGGATGTAACAAATTAACAATGTGTTCTTACATAACAGACCAAACCAATAGGTAATACTCCTGATTTTAGGTTTCTAAGTAATGTAGTTAGTAGTAATAAGTAATACACAGAATATAATATTCTAAAGCCCAGCTGCAATCTTACCATCACCAAGATCTCATCAGTATTTGATTACATATTTATGCTCAACCTGTTATTTATTCCTAAAGGTAACGCTAAATTTGCACTGTTTTTATTTTGTTTATCTAATGAAGTTTCAATCTAATAAATATACAGTATTCTATCTGCTATATTGATTCTCTCACCTGAAGCCCCAGTTTAAAGGAATGTTTTCATTAAGCAGCACATCATTCAAACTTCCTTTAGGGCAATATTCTGTTATTATGGCAATATTTGGTACCTCAATGCAGCCTCCAATAAATTTGCAAATGTTTGGATGATCTAATTGTCTGTAGGGGGAAAAAAAACCAAAATCCAGTGTATTTATCAGAATTATCAGTTCAATAATATCTAAATTGTGTTATGTTGTTTCTCAGAAATGCATTTTCATTACAATAGAAATATATTGGGATCAAATCCCAGAATTCACTTGAACATTAATTACTGAAGTGGGGAATTGTAGATTATTTGGGTTGATTAACTGATCCAAGTTGATGGAATTGGAAGTAAATCTAATGTAGGCCTTTTCCAGCTTTTATTGGGACTGTGAAGATTGGTTATTCTGAATATTGCTGTGCTGCTTCCAGACAGTGGGGTATTCAAAAATTGAAGCTCAAAACCAGCAAAATGTCTGGTAGATAAAAATGTGATCAAGATCCAATCCAGTTCAGTTCAGTTCAGTTCCAGAAAAACTTACTATTGGTAGAAAATTCAGAGCATCAATGCATTCAGTTCTATCAGAAATTACGTACTCTTTCTATTCACAGAAAGCACAGAGTGTGCCACATTCTCCCCAAAGGCATAACTGCTTCAAAGGGTTGGAGACAAGAGGTACACTTACAATTCCTTGAAACATCTGTTTGGAATTGAACCCCAAACATTGCACAGCCTTATTCAGCAGACACTTTACCCAATGGAAAGTAAAGCTCACCAAACATACTCAGAGCTGGCTGGAGGAACAAAAACTTCCTCTCCAGATGGAATGACGGTGTCATTCTCAATATGTCCGCTCGTGTTTTGAAAATGCTTTAGAAGTGCTTCCGACCTCACAAAAACTCGGTACCTCTCGGCAATACATAAGCAGATTTTCTTTTTTAAGGCTTCCAAAGAAATCAGGAAGAAAAGGTGGCACTGCCTGAAAAGTTATATTAAGTTAAAAACATCTGTCTCTTAAAGGGGTTCAATCTCTTCCCCCACCCCCAGATTTCATAGGGAATCTGCTGCTTTAACGAATAGCAGAGATGTTGTGCTTGTGGAACAATTTTTCCTAATCATTTTGCAAGCATGCATTGGCATAGTACCCAGTACGTGTGGTGGATGCTTAGCTGGGGAAAGCTAATAAAATCTATTTGATTAGAAGAGGCATCAGATCATGTAAGCCACAGAATGATGGAATCTGATGAGAAGTGAAGGTCCAGTAAGTTTAGAACAGGGTAAGAAAAATCCAATCTTATTTTATTTCACTGCCTTCATTCCTGATAGGGAATCCTTTATCACCCACATCAATATTCACAAGTAGTTCTTGTGAATTTTTTTAATTAAAGTTTATTTTTTTATTTTAAAAAAATTATATGGCTGCCCAACTCACTGCAGGCAGCTTACAAAAATAAAATTATTATAAGATAAAATACAAATAGAAACAAAAATTGAGAAAGTTAAAAGAGAAGTGCAGAATGAAGTAAAAAGAAAGGAAGGGAGTAATGACTTTCTTCACTACAGTAGAATACAAAAACAATTATAAAAAAGCCTTTTACTTTATATTTCACAATTTTTCAAGCCATTTCTATATAAAAAAAAAAACGTCATTCCGATGAAAACCTAAAATTAGTTTCATTTTTTTTCAAGTACAAAATCCAGAAATGGTCTCCAAATGAAAATAAAACTAGATAAATTATTCTGTTGAATTAAAACAGCCAATTTTGTCATCCCTGCCAACCCCATTCCCTTTACCATTCATTCTTCCATGATTGAAAGTTCTTTTGATTTATTTATTTTTTTTAGAATTCCAAAATCTACTTTATTTTTTAAAGAAATCACATTTCTAGTCTTCTTGTTTAGGTGCAAAACTTTACATGAGCCAGTTTATAATGCTAATATTTGAGTGAAGAGGAAATTTGTTTTAGAAAAGAGGAAGATTTCTCTGCTTCCTTTTTGAATTCTGACTGATGTAGAAAAATAGCAGCTATTTTTCAGCCAGTTGTTAAATAAATGAAATATACAGCACATTTGAAGCAAGAGGAAAATTAAGGTAAAATCACATAGGATGCTTATTACGTTCATTAGTAGACATACCCAGACATATATAGATTATATAGTTGTATACCTTACCTTACTTGCTTGACTTCTTTCCGTATGGTCTTGGTAAGGGTAAATGTCTTTTTCATTATTTTTTTGATGGCAACTGTTCTGCCATCACTGAAAAAATACAGAGATGCTTGTCTTAATTGCCAACAATCATAAAAATCCAAATACATTAAGATATCACATTGAAATTACTTTGTTTTTTTCCTTCATCCTATGAAACAAGCTATGTTTAAAAGTAACAACTAACTATTGGTTATGCAGTAAGTTTCAACCATAAGTTTAATCTATATTAAATCTCTTCATATCTCCACTATGACTTGTGGGACGCTCAAGATGAATATAATGTTAGGCTAGTAAATTTACACAATAAGATTTTCTCCCCTCCTTTTCTCCTGCAGTTTTCCATGTGCCCTTGAAATCTCATCTCCATGATGGAGGAAATATAACCAGTGTTCAAAAGCATGGTTCATCAGTTTTGGTACAGAGAAATGGGGGAAGCAGGACAACAGACAACAAACCATCTAATCATGCTTACTGTGCGTATGTATCTGCATACACATATGTTAGGAGTAGCAACCAAGAAAAAGAATTGATGAACATGCTTTCAGGTGTAAACCAGCAATAGCACTTAGACTTAACACCACTTTACAGTGCCTTACAGACCTCTCTAAGTGGTTTATAGGGTCAGCATATTGCTCCCAAGAATTTGGGCTCTTATTTTACCCACCTCAGAAAGATGGAAGGCTGAGTCAACCTGGAGCCTGGTGAGATATGAACTGCCAAATTGCAGGCAGCCAGTAGTCAGCAGAAGTAGCTTGCAGTACTGCACTCTAACCACTGCGCCACCATGGCTCAACTAACGAAAAAGATCATCTTTGAGGAGAACATAGTGTTTGACCAATGAAAGCTCAAAGGATTGCATGAACAATCGAAAAATTCTTACTAGATTCCAGAGGGCGAGAAGTAGTTCATCTTGGAAGCATTGGCAGATGCTGTACAGGAGCTCAACCCTGTGAGACAGCTGGTGTTGGACATGCTGGGTGCACGTGGGATACTTAAGGCACTCATGGCAGTTCTTGGAAAACAGTCTAAGGAGGGGGGGCGGCAGAAATTCAATAGTTTATAGACCCATTGGCATGAATACTCACAAATTACTATAATGTGCTATCCATATCCCTGTACATACACTAGTTTGTTGTACTGGTAATCTGCCAGGTATTCTACAGGTTGTCTTTGACTGACAGCCCTGCATTTAGTGACCATTTGAAGTTACAAGAGCACTGAAGAAAGTAACTTAAAACTGGTCCTCACACTTAGGACCATCACAGCAGCCCCACAGTCATGGGAGCAAATTTTTTGTCTCACGGCAATCAACTTGTATACATGATGGTGTCCTGGGATCATTTACATCATTTACAACTTTCCCAGCCAGCTTTAAACAAGCAAAGTCAACGGGGGAAGCCATATTAACTTAAGAATCAACACGATTCACTGAACAACTACAGTGATTTTCTTTAACAACAGCGGCAAAAAAGGTTGTAAAATTGGGCTGGACTTACTGCTTTGCTTAGCAACAGAAATTCTGGTCCCAATTGTGGTCATAAGTCAAGGACTACCTGTACTTGAAATAGACTGCAATGCATTAATAAAAGCGTCATCCAAAGGAAACAGCTGAGACATTTTTTGAAATGGTGGAACTTTGGTGCAGGTTTTCAACAAATCTTGATCTCCCTGCCCACCAATCTTTTTAGTCATCTTGGTTATTTCTCTTAGAGTTGCACATTTGTATTTATTTATTTTATTTTCCATATTTCTTAGTGAATGAAGCAATAATCTATTTTGCTTACCATTCTTTTGTTTGCCTAATTTATGTGTTTCAGTTTGGAATATTTATTAAATCCAGGCTAATTGCAACATTAATATTTATTGATCTTGTTAGCATTAGATAGAATGCATGTATTAGCCAACTTTGTTTTGCACAGGGCCCGCATTGAAACAAATACTTGCTTCATCATAAGCTGATAAATCCACACTGAACTAATAAGACAGAAAATAAATCAAGTTTAACATTCCAAGTGGTATATTATAATAATAGGGGCTCTTGGATGAGACAGTCAAATGGAAAAAAAGATATACAGTGGTTAAAACGATGTATCTTCTCTGTCACCTCATGGAGTCATGATAGTAGATTAATCATATTTGGTTTGGTTATGTTCCAGCATCTGCTAAAATTCCCCAGTCTGCACAACTTTGCAGAAAGAGGTGACTCTCCCAAGCCATCAAATGCACAAGAGACTCTGGTAAAGTGGGCACAACAGCTTCTTATAATGAATACGTTAGTTCAAAAGATGTGATGAACTATTTCCTGTAACAGCATGAAACATGACATTGACTGTTGTGTTGAATATATGAATCTAAGACATTGACTATTCATAACCGTGACTCCCTCTTCTTTGTGGCAGCCACTGAGATATTGGAAGACTGCTATCATGTCACCCCTAGTCCTTCTTTTCATTACACTAGACATACCCAATTCCAGCAATGGTATTTGTTGCTCTTCTCTGCACTCTTTCTATAGTCTCAACATCCTGTTTACATTGTGGCGACCAAAACTGGATGCAGTATTCCAAGTGTGGTCTTACCAAGGCATTATAAAGTGGTATTAACACTTCACACAATCTTGATTCTATGCCTCTGTTAATGCAGCCTAGAATTGTGTTGGCTTTTTTGGCAGCTGCGGCACACTAGTGGCTCATATTTAAGTGATTGTCTACTAGGACTCCAAGATCCCTCTCACAGTTACTACTACTGGGCCAGGTACCACCAAAACTATACCTGTGCATGTGGTTTTTCTCGTAATAATAACCTAATAACCACAAAGGGGCAGCAGGGTGTAGATAAAGAGTTAAAGATTATTCTATGTTTCCTCTTGTCTATAACTCTCCCTGCATTTTTTTCTAAGAAATTGCAAATTTCAGGTCACTTCATTCCATCCGAGTAGCTAGCTAGTGCTAAACACTTCCTATCTCTATAATGTATTTCTGAAAAACATTCTCTTTCTTTTTATAGTTATGAAACCTGCTTCATTAATTATTGCTCTGGCTGGGTTCTCTGCTCTTAAAAATGTTCACATGGACTTCCAGGAACATTCAAGTTCCCAACATTTTGAAACAATGGCTGAAGGATTTACAATAGACTGATAAAACATTTTTTCCCTTCTCTTTAAGATAAATAACAGGGAATTTAGTAAAATGTTTCCTTGGGTAATTATCAAACTGGTCAATTCCCAATTTGTCAATTCCTTGATTCATGAAGCACAAGACTTACATACCTTGCTTGATACAGCTGTAATCTATAATCCAGCTTTCATCCCAAAACATTTTTTGTTTTTGGTACTGAAACCACTAAAGGAAAGAGCAGAACAAATTTATTCCTAGGAATTGCTCCTTTGAGTCCAGTAATATTGCAGCAAGGGAGAGGATATCTCATACATTGTCAAATGTAAGCAGTTTTGAACAATTTAACAAATGGTATTTGTACAAACACTTCTATACTGCAGCTCTTTCTAACCAAAGCTCATGCCTGATTATATGATTCCTTTAAGAGTTACAGTTAGGACAGGAAGCAAAAAAAAGAATCCTATTATATAGAATTAGCAATTCTTAATCTGAATCTTATAGCAATTGCATCTATTCTTTATCATATCAGGCAATTTATCTATAAATTTATTTACAGACCACCAATTTCTCAAGAGATTTAAGGCAGTTTACCATATGAGAGAAATAAAAGTAAATGATCCGACAATAGGCACTGTTGGCTATTTATACAAAAAAAGTACTAGATAATAATTAAGACTTCTTTGAGGGCTAGTTTAGTGTAGCGGTTAAAACATTAGGCTAAAAACTGGGAGATAGTGGATTCTGTCATCCCCGGGAAAGAGGTTATGGCAAACCACTTCTAAAAAAAAAAACCTTACCAAGAAAAACTGCAGGGACTTATTTAGGTAGATATGATTATGAATGGAAGTAAAAAAAAAGACCTCTTCATATTATCCATGGAGACAGTTTTAACACAGGAAAGAACATGACTGCTATAATATATAATGCACTTTTCACAGTGCATTATAGACCAGCATCTGCTACATGCATCAGCCTAAGAATGTACTCAGAAAATTGAGTGGAAAGCAGTTTTCCATCCCATTTCCTTTAAGAAACTAAATATATTACTATATCCTTTTGGAGAGAGAGGGAGGGAGAGGGAGAGAAGCTGTTTGGCCATCAACATTACCTTACATTTTAAAAAGTCAGAATTTCAGTCGAGTGGAGGAAGAGAGAATAGACAGTACAATATAAAGATATGCAAAATCTATAAGAAAGAGCAGGAGAAAGAGACAATGGTAGAAGAAACTAGATGGAGCGGTGAAGTGGTGAAACGCCATTTCATTATCTAAAAGCACGGAGTACATTTACTCTGGTTGTAATTATAATCCTGACCCAATTTGATAAGGCTGATGATCATTCCAGAGCAAAGAACCTGAGGTGTCTTTTAACATATTCCTCATATTGTTTTTAAATGGTTGTATGAATTTAACTTTAATTCATTTCCATCCCACAGTGTTTCCTTGAAAAGCTGAAAAGACAGTCCTATTATTATTATTATTATTATTATTATTATTATTATTATTATTTTGGAACCCCATAACAAAATGCATGTGTAATCATTCGTTATGCTCCGTCTCGGTCTACCCATCCGCAGCAGAAAGACAATTTATAGTGAACAAAATGGCAAAGGAATGTACCCATCTGTCAGGTTCTCTAGGGAGGATCTTTGTAACTAGCAGTTCCAAAAATATATCACTGAGTATAAGGCCATCACAGTTGCATTTTACCCAGGTATATCCACGAGGCCAGCAAAGAAATAGAACAATACATCATAGCTTATAGCATTAAAGAGGGTTAAAAACTAAGAACTAGAGGAGAATGAGGAAAATGGGAAGATGTGATAACATCTAACTTGATACGTACCAAGATTGTCAAAATGGAACCAGTGCAGACTAAGCATATTGGTAGAACAATGGCTATCTTGATTTCAGTTGTCAAGGGACATTCCCCACAATCAGCTGGACATATAGAACAGCTCTCATCATCTTCACAAATGTCATCCCCACAGACTGAGCACAAAGAGAAAGAACGATCAACATCAGTGATGGAAGAAAGAGAAACACAATAAGCCTTAATGGTAATTATGTAATTTAAAAGAAAAGTATTCCAAAAAGCATTGAATGCCATTAAATGTAGGGCAAGATTGGGTCAGCAAATGTTAGCGTGGACTTGGTAACTGGCCAGCTAGGTGTAAATGAAACTCAAAAGGCAAAAAAATTTCTAATATATATATTGTCCAGTACGAAAGAAGTTTAAGTGTTTGAAACCTCTTCTTCAATTCTGGCCTTCTAAACGTATGTATGTATCGATTTCACCTGGTCTGAAACCCTCTGGCTGTGATGTGGAGATGTAATCGAATAGATCTGGGTGGGAAAGGTTGAGGAAAACTGAATTAGTGCAAAAATCTAGTACCATTTAAGTTCTTGTTCTAGTCTTCACTTGCATTCCACAAAAGGAAGACTATTGGGCTTTCTATAGCTTTTTTTTTAAGAAGTAGGATTACATATGTTGGAAAGAAAAGGCCTTAGAAAGGGATTATTCAGTGGTCTATATGTTATCATTGTAGTCTCTCAGCTAAGTTTTTCCCTTCAGATAAAAGAGGTATCCATGTCTGTCTGTAAGTCACATAGCAGTGTATACCCAGTGGTGGGATTCAAAATTTTTACTACCGGTTCTGTGGGTGTGGCTTGGTGGGCGTGGCATGGCTTGGTGGGCATGGCTTGGTAGACATGGCAGAGAAAGGATACTGTAAAATCCCCATTCCCTCCCCACCCCACTAACCTGCTTTCCAGCTCCGTTCTCCTGTGCAGGGCAACAAAAGAAGACCCAGCCAATCAGCTGGGACTCAGGAGGCAGAGAATAGATGGGGGTGGGGCCAGTCAGGTGGTGTTTGCCAGTTTGCCGAAATACTCAAAATTTCCACTACCAGTTCTGCAGAACTGCCCAAAACCTGTTGAATACCACCTCTGCATATACCTCTCCCTCCCTCCTTCCTCCCCTCTTACTCTGATGAACATTCAAAACTTCCTGGCAATTTAAGCATGATTGTTTCCATATATAACTGTCCAGTTATATCATGACATCAAAAGGATGAAAGGTGTGTCATGACGCCATGATGCAAACTCCATCCTTTCATAAGAAGCAGAGCTTTATATCAGGACATTTGTTTCACTATTTGCCTGCCTTAGCCCAATTCCACAGATACTTAAATTTGGACATACCTATTGCAGGGAGCACTATTGTTTGGGCCTCTAAAGCCACTTGCATTTTTCCTACTCTGACATGGGCTATGAGAGACGTCACACCCACATGTACCAGGACTACCTACAAACAAAGAAGAAATATAAACAGACAGTCAGCCTTTTCCATCAGGAAGGACAATCTAATCAGTGGTGGGATTCAAAAAAATTTTACTACCGGATCTGTGGGTGTGGCTTGGTGGGCAGGGCAGGGGAAGGATACTGTGAAATCTCCAGTCAGAGGTGGTATTTGCTGGACTACTCAAAATTTCCGCTACCGGTTCTCCAGAACTGGTCAGAACCTGCTGAATACCACCTCTGAATCTAATCTAGAGTGCTGTGCTTCCTCTAGATCAGGATTGGGAAATGATGGCCCCTTTTACGACTTGTGGACTTCAACTCCCAGAATTGGACAAGAAGCAATGGGTGGAAACTAATCAAAGAGAGAAGCAGCCTAGAACGAAGGAGACATTTCCTGACAGGTTGAACAGTTAATCAGTGGAACAATTTGCCTCCCAAAGTTGTGAATGCTCTAAAAACTGGATGTTTTAAAGAAGAGATTGGACAACCATTTGTCTGAAATGGCGTAGGGCATGGGTGTTAAACTGCAGCCCATGGGCCAGATGAGTCACACGCAGGCCATGCCAGAGGTGGTATTCAGCAGGTTCTGACCAGTTCTGGAGAATCGGTAGTGGAAATTTTGACTAATTTCGGAGAACCGCCAAATGCCACCTCTGACTGGAGATTTTAGAGTATCCTTCCCCTGTGGGCCTACCAAGCCACGCCCACAGAACTGGTAGTTAAAAAATTTGAATCCCACCACTGGGCCACATTCACCCCAGCTCTGCGAATGGAAAAAACCATCAAGAAACATCATGTGATGGCAGTGTGAGGCCACAGGTTTGACACCCATGGTGTAGGGTTTCCTGCCTGAGCAGAGAGTTGGACTAGAAGACCTCCAAGGTCCCTTCCAACTCTGTTATTTTATTATTCTGTTAATTCGGGAATTCTGGGAGTTGAAGTCCACAAGTCATAAAGTCTTCCCCACCTCTGCTCTAGCTGCTCTGGAATCTCACAAGCAGGCCTCATAAAATCTTTTCCCTGTTTCTCCAAGCACCTGTAATTTAGAGTTATATTGCTTTAATATTCACACATTGATTCATAGGAATCTTGTCAGGTATTTTGTTTTTTGTTTTGAAGACATGGATGAACAGATGCCAAATGCAAGTCTGGCCAAAGAGAAGCAGAGTGTTATCCATGTGAATGAATGAGATGAAGGAAAGAAGCTCATGTTTGTACAAAATGGATGAAAAAGCCTTTTACGAAAGGCCGGGAAATTGAGAGTACAGGTAATCCTCAACTTGCAACAGTTCATTTAGTAACTGAAGTTATAACGGCACTGAAAAATGTGACATGACCGTTTCTCACTCCTCTGAGTACTGCAGCATCCCCATGGTCACGTGATCAAAATCCAGGTGCTTGGCAACTGACTCATATTTATGACTGTCGCAGTGTCGGGGGTCATATGATCACCTTTTGTGACCTTCTGACAAGCAAAGTCAATGGGGAAGCCAGAGTCACTTAGTAACCGTGTTACTAACTTAACAACTGCAGTAATTCACTTAAACCACTGTGGCAAAAAAAATTGTAAAATGGAGCAAAACTCACTTTAATGTCTCACTTAGCGACAAAAATTTTGAGCTCAACTGTGGTCATAAGTTGAGGATTATTTCTATAGTGAAGATAAAATCTTTTCTTACCTTAGCAGTCCAGTTTGTCTGTGTCATTTTGCCAGCAGTAGACACGGTATGTGTAAATATTTGACCATCATCTGGGATCCATGGTCCACATATGCCACCATTTGCCTTTTGCCAAATAGATTAGAAATAATCTACCTTAAATGTTTTCTATGGAGAATCCAACGACAGACAACTATTCTATATTGTATAACTCAGCTTTTTGTGAAAGTTTGGCTAACTTCCCAGGAACATAAAATGAGTTACACAATTACAGTAAAGCATTTATTCTGCATTTTTCTTTGTATACTAGAATATTACCGGTGTAACTCTTACATTCAACATCATTAATTTCATTAATCTGTACATTTTTAGGTCATTGCAGAAGAAATGGTAAGAAAGAACAGCGGGCATTGGAACTTAGAGGCTAAATTAGTGTAACAAACAGATAGCAAAAAAAAGTAGAGACATTACATTTAAGGCTTCATGAATAAGAATGAATTTAAACTATGAATTATTTTTAGACAAATGAATGACCTCTAATTAATTCAGGGGAAAAAAAGGATATATACTGTTTTTGTATCATCTAAAGCCCTCTGGCAAATCATTATCAAAACATCACAAAGGGAGAAAATAAGGAGTGGCAGTGGAAACAGAATACAAACTTGAGATGGGCTTGCGAAGTTTGTAACATTCATTCTTCTGAAACATCAGACACAAAGCAGTATTCTAATTAAACTGATTTAATGCAAGTAATTCTGCACTTGAATGTTCTTTAACTCTTACTGGTATTTCTGCTGTGTAAGACATGTGGGATGAATCTATATGATAACCTAAGCTGAATCTTTAGAAGACTTGAGATGTCAGGAACATTCATAGGTGTCCCATTTTCTATACACTGAAATAACTAATGTACTTCTAGAAAGTTCCTTCACATTGAGTGATATCTGGCTAATGAAGGAGAAACACAAGGGTACATAGAGCCTCTTTTCCTACGCCAGCCAATATGCTAACAACAGGGAAGTGTTTCTGTGGTGATCTGCTGTGAAGATACGATCAAAATATAGGCCAATGCTGGAAGGTAGGAGTAATGTGTCCAATGTCACAACCTCCTAGATATATTCTTTCAGTGGACCGAAATTTCCTAACGGTGAAAACAATTAACCAGCAGAACAGCTTTCCTTCAGAAGTTACGGGTGTTCCATCACTGGAGGCTTTTAAGAAGAGACTGGGCAGCCACTTATCTGGGATGGTATAGACTAGAGTTTCCTGTTTGGGTAGGGAGGGTGGACTAGAAGACCTCCAAGGTCCCTTCCAACTCTGTTATTCTGTTCTGTTCTGTTCTGAATGGAAGTCATTTATTGCACTTTAGCCGAAGTTGTCTGCTGAGCTTCCCAGCTAAGCAAGAAGTTGAATCTACTTTGCCTACATGCCAGTGGTAGGATTCACATTTTTTTTACTACTGGTTCTGTGGGCATAACTAGTTTATGCCCACAGAACCAGTTGTAAAAAAAATGTGAATCCCACCACTGGCATGTAGGCAAAGTAGATTCAAAGTAGGTGGGCCTGGCTAGGTGGCGTGGCCAGGTGGTCATGTGACTGGGTGGGCATGACTATGTGGTCATGTGACTGGGGGAGTAAATTTTCTTTCGCAGCACCCCACGCCCCACGCCCCGTTTTTGGCCTAGTCAGCCTCAGGGAAGCCTCCTGGGTGCTGAAAAAAAGTAGCATTTTGTAAGTACAACAGCGAGGGGGGGAATCAGTTGTGCCGCGCAATTTAAATTAGCTAGAAAACAAGAAATCCGACATTTCCTGCTTTCTAGCTAATCTAAATCGCGCAGCACAGCTGATCATTGCTCAGCCAATCACCAGAAGTACCAGTTAGGCCAAACTGTTAGCCTTTTTTTACTACCAGTTCACCTGAACTGGTAGCATGTTTTACTAGTGGTTCAAGTGAACAGGGCCGAACCAGAAGCATTTCACCTCTGCTACATGCAAATCAATACTTTCCCCACAACAGGCCAATCTAGCTTTTTGTATGATAATTATCCACGTTCTTCCTTATGAAAAAATTATCAGCCCTATTATGAAGAGAAGAAACTAGAAAAATCAGGATCAAGATCATACCCAAGGAATAAAAAGATAGGCTGAACTCTACAAAATCTGAGGCCCTCTATATATATTGAGGCTCTCTGGCCACAATTCCACAATTCTGCTGTTGAGCCAGTTCATTCCTGACTTAAGTGTAATGATGAAGTATGTTAGCTGCGCGGTATTAATGCTGCACTAAGAGGGGTGATTTTTTTCCCAGTTAATAGAATCTCATATGGGGTTGTTGGTTTTGCTTCATTATAATACTATAGCATTTCAGCACCATTTCACTATGCTTATTGACACTTTATTGATTGATTTGTCTTAGGATCGTGTCCAAAAAATAAAACAAAAGTGAACTTCAGGATATAAATCCAGGGTATAATTGGTTGGTTCAGGGAGAATCACCACCTTTAGTCTTGGATGGGGTAGCACTACCCCAAACAGACCCTGTGCGTAATCTGGGGGTTCTCCTGGACTCACGACTCTTGTTCAAAAAGCAAGTGGCGCTCGTGGCCAGGAGGGCCTTTGCACAACAGCGGATTGTGCACCAGTTACACCTTTTCCTGGATCAGCAGTCCCTATTCACAGTCACTCATGCCCTGGTCACTTCCCGTCTTGATTATTGCAATGTGCTCTACATGGAGCTGCCCTTGAAGAGCATCTGGAAGCTCCAATTGGTGCAAAATGCAGCGGCCCACATGGTTTTATGCAGACCCCGGTGTGCACGTGTATCACGTCTCCTACAGGAGCTGCATTGGCGGCCAATTCTTATGTCCTACTCCTGGGGAGTGCTGGGAATTAAAGAAACAGCAGCACTGTGAATTCTCACGTGGAGACACCTGCGAATATCCTCACTGCTGCTGTTTCTCTAATATGGTTTTGTGAGTTTGGGAGATGAAACTGAGGGATGTGCGGAAATACCACTTGTATAAAATAATGGGTTAAGTTGTCCTTATTTTGTAAAAGAAGAAAGATCTGCTCTCTTTTAAGAGTCCTCTCAGATATCAGTCTGAACTTCTCTTCCCTTATCACTGCAAACTGACAGTCATACTTATCCGCCAATGAATAGAATTGCATTTGATGAGGCACATTACGAAGAGCAGTGTAATTGTTGAAATATCCCTTCGGTTCAGTCACCATCATCAGTAATGCTCTTCTGTATATGATTGCCTAATCAAAGGTTATTTTCCCCACTCACTTTAATGGAGCTGCCTGTTCAGTGCCTTTTTTAGGGGACTGTAGCATAAGGAGATTTTCCTTACAGACTTTCTGCACAGAGAATTCCTTCATGCTTTTCCTTTGATGTTCAGCTCATTTTGACAGCTGCTCTGTAGACTTTCTTTAATTTGATAATGCTATCTTGAATCAGTATTTTTCAAAGCTTCTCATTTCCCAGGAAAAAATAATTAAGGCTCACTCTGTTGTAATCCTTATGCAGGACGAAGGTTTTAAGATATTAATTCTAAAAACATCTAATTTATCCTTGCTAATTTCAGGAGTTTGCCTGGATATCTGTATATATATGATATATCAAAAATGTGGGTACCTCTTGCAAGCTATGATTTAAAAAGTGCCAAGTATAAATAGCCCCTGCTTAACTAAGCCAAGTTCTTGAAATACAAATGCATTTTATATAACAAAGGCATGGTCTTCTTAGGCTTCATACTTCATTCCATCTGAGCAAGGGAATATAAATATAGAATATCTGATCTTGAATGTAACTTTAATAACCTAATGGCTAAGCTCACAGACGTCTTCCTTTTTTAAAAATAAAGTAAGGTTTCTGATTTTTATTATGTGATAATAAGACTTGTGAGCTCATCTTTTGGAATCAACTCACAAGTCTTATTACCGCACAATAAAATCAGAAACCTTTTTTTTTTAAAGGAAGAAACAGGGGAGAAACCCTGCATTTTAAAAAGCATTTCAAAATTGGAACTGAACAATGGATGCCAGCACTATGGTTCCCATAACAGCATTGTTATTTCCAAAATAGGTATATGTCATAAATTAATAGAATACAGTTTCCTAGTCCAACTGTTAATATCTCTGATTGAGAAGGGATTTGGAATACTGCAGCACCAAAGCAAAGTTTAGAGTTGATTTACTATTTCTCTACTTATGGATTGCCTCAGTCATAGATAATAACAGGCTCTATCTCCAAAACTCTCATTCCCTGTTATTATGTATTGGTAAAAGGCTTCAGTTTTATGGATCGGGGGAAGGTTCACTATTCCATTTGCTGCACAAAGTTTTAACTTAGTCCAGATCAATGTGTTCAAAAATAAACATGGAATTATTCTTTAAAGTAGTGCTGTAACAATAAGATCTAGCATCGGAAAGTGAGATTTTGCTATCACTAACACAATCTGGTAGTCACTCATTGTAAGCCAGTAGTCTCCAAACTTGGCAACTTTAAGACTTGTGGACTTCAACTCCCAGAATTTCTCAAGTCTTAAAGTTGCCAAATTTGAGGACCCGTGCTGTAAGCAATCAGATATTCTAACTGTTATATAATCACTTCCTATATGCATACATGAGAAAAATGGCTATTTTTTGCAGATCTGATGTTATTTTCTGGCTAGAATAAACAATGGTTTGTTATGGTCCTTGTCTTCCAACAAGGTCTAAACCTCCAAAAGCCCCACATTGGGTAAGGTCAAGATAAAAGTCATTTTCCCTCCATTGGAAAGAGATTTTAAGAACAATAGCCCATAGGTGACAGCAATCCAATGGTTCCCTTCTTTGAATAACAATATCTTTAGCAAAGAGAAGGGCAAAAATATCCATAAATATACACAGACCGTTTAAAACAGAAAACCTGGAAGTAATAACAATACAAATGGAGGGAACAACTGATAAAAAGAAACAATATGCAAAGGAAAGCTAGAAGCTGAGATCAAAGTCAGATTCCATTTAGGTGTAAATAGAAGTGACAACTTATAGTATATGTTGTTTGCCCCAGGAATGTAAAAGTGAACCAATAATGTAACTGATAAGGGAAGACCTAAATCTCAGCGATTGGGTTAAAATTTTACAGTAAGTTATAACATGAGCTTTTTTCCCCCACTTTTGGCTCAGTGTTATGTGTAAACACAGTCAGTTGGGTTATAAATCATGGCTTACATTTCGATATAACAGTGAATTCAGCCATAAACTGGTCACCGAGGCAAGACGTAAAATCTGGTTCAACTGGATACTGCTTTCTGAAATAAAACTATATGGTTGCCAATTGACTCTGATGAATACTGAAAGCCTTTTATTCTACTACTGTCCCTGGGAACCTACTGCATGCACCAGTACTTAGTCACAATCATGCCAAATTACAAAATGTAATAAGCTTTGCCCCTTTGTACTTGTTATATATCTGTGCAAGCATAGAAAAGACAGAGTTGTATGTCACAATGTCACTTGCCTTCCCTGAACCCTAGCAAGATGCTTATGGAATCTGTCTTTTCAGAGGAAATTCCCTTAAGATACAATATAATCTATTTTGAGCTTCTAGATTAATATAGCAATAGCACTTACACTTATATGTCACTTCATAATGCTTTATAGCACTCTCTTAATGGTTTTCAGAGTCAACATATTGCCCCCCAAAATCTGGGTTCTCATTTTTCTGAGCTCAGAAGGCTGAGTCAACCTTGAGTCAGTCAGGATCGAACTCCTGGCAGTGGGCAGAGTTTGCTTGCAATACTGCATTCTAACCACTGTGTCATCAGAGCTATATACTTTCTACCATGCACGTAATACAATTGATTTTTTTCCCCCCTAACTATATTTTAATAATTTTCTTATTCTCACATTTTAAATCAAAATTCTGAATTGAGGAATGGATTTTTTTTGCCTTGACTGTAACTATTCAAAAATGGCACTTCTACAGTATCTTCTAATTTATTTCTGTTTAATTTAATTTAACACTTCCCAGCAGTAGTCTTCTTTTATTTTTGACACATTTTATGAACAGGAAGATGGCTCAATAAGCAAAAGGGAGGCCTGCAAAAAATGATTATTCAATAGCACTTGCCCATTACATTTGGCCAGGGCACTTGGTTCTACTATTAGATATAGTGAGATGATTCCTTCATGTGGCAGGCACTGAAGGCTATATAACTTGCAGACATTAAGGTCATGGGTTTACCTATACAAAAGGTAATCTTGCCTTGTTCAACAGTGTTGTTTAAAATTCAGTTTGGCAGTGTTAATGGGCCCAATGAATATGGAGTGAGGAAGGACCATGTTGGTGGAAAAACATCTCCTTGGTTCAATCCTGTTTCTTGCTTTTATTAAACACTCCAAACAGCTACTGTGTTTGAGATCAGGAAAAAAAGTTTATCCTACTATGCAACACAAACATATTAAATAAATTTGTCATGAAATACTAACCATGAAAGCCAATGGACAGGAATGAATGTTCGCATGATGGACACAACAGTTTTCTCCGTTTGCATCTTTCCAGTTGGGAGGACATTCCTGTTCCTCACAAAACTTCTTAGCAGCTTTTGCATCACTTCAAAATAACATTATTACATGGGCAGAGATTATTTTGAAATGTATCATGCCATTCCATTAACTTGTTTTAAGCAGCAAACACACAACCTCATATTCGTACAGCAAAGAATGAATATAGAGACGAATTGTTTGAAAATATTTGTGTGCTCCTTGAAGTTGGACTCTTTTTACAGATTTTATGTACATACATATATGAAAAAACTGCAATAAAAAAACTCCCACAAACATTTAAACATAATCTTGTATTTAAATGTGTATTTACATTTTTTCAATTTTTTACAATTTGCATTACATTTTATTTTCCCTAAAATTATTTTCATAAAAAATGTGCACAACTCAGTATGTTTATTTCTTAAATTATCCATTTCTGTACTGTAATTTTTTTGGTACTAGGATATTTTTTCAATGTTTGAGAAGTTCTAGTAGTTCTTGTTAAACATCCACTCATCCAGTGTAATTACAAAATTACAACCAGTTTCTTCAACCTGCCTCAGAGATTTTGCTTGCAATGGATCTATTTCTTGGAAGTTGGAAACCTGACAGGATGCTCGATTCAGATGCTTGGCAACCAGCTCAAAATTACAATGTTGCAGCATTCTGCAGTCATGTGATCACCATTTCTAACCTTCTCTGCCACCTTCTGAAAAGCAAAGTCAATGGAAAAGCCAGCAGGAGTTTGCAAATAGTGATCATGTGACCAGGGGACAGTGCAGATTTATGGGAGTTGCCTAACAATTGCAACTAGGGTGGCTGGAACTGCCATCATAAGTTAGTGTGGTCATGAGATGTTGTGCCTTATGCCTGCATCACTTTGCGATGGAGTTTCTGGTCCCAATTATCATCAGTAAGCAAGAACTACCTGTAGATGAGAGACTGTTGCTAAATAAATGCTTTGTGATACTTAAATTTGTCAGGAGGTTTCACCTCAGAACTATCTCTAAGATCACATACTGATTTCCTGAAGCATCACTTCCATTCTCAGTTCTTTATTCTAGTCAGCCTATACACAATCATGCTACACACTCTTTAAAAATTATTCATATCACAGGCAACACAATGTCTGCTCACTATTCATTAATAGAATCCAATTTTATTCTGGCTTTTTTGTGGGGATAAAAAGAAAGATGACACTATCTGTGGCATCAGAAAAAAAATCAGACTACTTTAAGGTGTAGCAGCTTTTGCTTACAGGAGCTTTGAAGAATTTCTAAATATTTTTTTAAAATATGTAGAATCCTAATATAGAGACAAATGCTGACCAAAGCCAAACATTACTCCTTTTTGTCAGAAAAAGAAGTTTATATGTCAGAAGACTAAATTTACAGTTGTATGGAGGAAATCTGTCCATAAATGAGAAAATAATTGGTATTGGTTTGTTCATAATAATGAAGATTGCTTCAATTTTAAACAAATATTTGGAAAATGCTGTCCAACAAACACACATCATCATTATATTTTCTCAACTATTCATTAAAACAGTAACACACACACCTTCCACTACCTTATATATCTCCTGAAGCAGAAACATAGATTACTTCAACTTTACCTATAAATGCTAACCTGTGGGAGAAGATCCCGTTTTCCACGGCATAGTGGTAGAAGTAATCAGAAGCTAAGACAGAGTAGATGACATCAAAGGATTCTCCACTTATTATTTTTTCTGGAGGCCTATGGACCCAAGCCATCTCTAGACCTAGAAATAAAGGTTCATCTAGGCATAGTTCAAAACTCAATTAACGTTTCATTGTCTTTAATCCTGAGACTAAAGTAACTAATCCAAACAATAATATTATCCATGAGTGATAATGCCTTATCCAGATTCTTTGGGGTAGCATAAGAAAACCAGGTTAACATACTTGAGATGGTTTTCATTTCTGCTTTTGGTTTCTTGCATTTAAGATGATGCAAACTGATGGGGGGAAAATCTGTACAGACTAATAGGTCCTGTTTTTGATATAACTTAGATATTGTTTTGTGAGTGGCAGTTGTCTTTGTGGTTTCCATTGTGATTTTTATTGTACTGTTTTGTTAATATTATAATGGACATTAGCTGCAAAAATAAAACCGAGTACACATGTTTTATAAGTAGGATTTTATATGATCTGCAATAAGTAGGACTTTATATGATCTGCAAAAGCTGATCTATCAGAAGCATAATAATAATAATAACAATAACAACAATAATAAATAAATAAATAAAAACAATATCAACAACAATAACAATAACAACAGTATTAGTGTTCTTGTTATTAGTATTAGTATTATTAGTATTAGTATTATTATCACCATTATCATTATCATCATCAATAATAATAATAATAATAATAATAATAATTTCAAATGAATTCCCATGCAAAATTCAAGAAAGTTAAATGTGGGTTTTTGCCACAGCCTTGTCATTATAAAAGAATATACCAACTCAATAAAGATGCTAATTTGTAGAAGACCACAGGGAATATGATTGATTTTTTTTAAAATTCCCTCAAGTCAGCCTTGCCTCCTGAGGACTGCTTGGCTAGATCCTGCAGATCTCAGAAGACATTTGCTGTTGCCTATTTCCTAGGCCTGAGAGAGAGTAACTGGCCCAAGGCTACCCAGATGGCTTCGTGCCTAAGGTAGATTAGAACTCATGGAATCTCAGTTTCTAGTCTGATACTACTATGCCAGACTGTCTCTCTAATTAATAATAATCCCAGGGAAGGACTTGATAGCTGGATAAAAATGCCAAATCTAGTCCGAACAACTGGCTGATTGTGCGATGAACCATGATAATAATAGTAATCTAATCTATTATGATACCTTTAATACCATCAAATAAAAACATCTGCCTATTCCAGATCCTTGGGAAGGACTTGATAAGTGGATAAAATGCCAAATTCAGTCTAAATATCTGGTTATTTGTGTGATGATCCATAATAATAATAGATGGCATGGCTGAATGATAACAATTTAAATTGTCTGAAAGTCATTTTGCAAAAGGTCTACAGTTTAAACAGGTTTTGCAACATTTAACTACCTGCCTTGCTAGACCTCCGTGTATCTAAAAGCTCCATATTATTCCATAGTCCTCATGAAAAACATTGTTCATGGCTCTCAAATAGCATCTTGGCTCTGATGTGGATATTTTGCCAAAGAAAGGAACACAAAGCTGAGGAGAAATTGCTAAAATTCATTCAATCACGCCTGATTTCCAAGAAAGCGGGACCCTGAACAATAGCAAGGCAGAGATCCTTCTATATTGAGGGGGTTGACAAGTAGGAAATACAGGAGATCTGATTGGCGGGAAAGTTTTTGAGAAAGTGAGATAAGCGGTAAACAGGGGGAAAGTGTTTTTCTATTGTAAAACAAATGTCACAACTTTGCGACAAGTGGAACTTTGAAACAACTTGGTGCTCACGCCTGATTATGAAGGGCTCCATGATCTACATGTGCAATTAGGAGAAGCAGGAAATGGCAAAGAATGGCAGAGGGGAGAAAAGGGGAAGAGTTTGTTGCTTTAGTTCAGGGGTGTCAAACTCAAGGCCTGGGGGCTGGTTTCGGCCCACAGGGTGCTTAGATCTGGCCCACAGGGCCACCTGCAAACAGCGAAGGACTGGCCGGTGGTGACTCTGCCAGCGAAAATGGAGTTTGGGAGGGTCATGTGTGGCCCTCTCAAGCTCTGTTTTCACTGGCAGAGTGTTGTGGGAGGCCGTCGCAGCCAAAAACCGAGCTCACCGAGCTGAACTCTATTTTTGCTGGCACAGGGTTACAGGCAGCCGTTGCAGCAAAAAACAGAGCTCGGGAGCCCATTTTTTCTGGCAGAGTGCTCAGACCACCACCTGCGCCCTCGACGTGAGTGACGTTGAGCTGGCCATGCCCCCCCGGCCATGCCCCGTGCCCCCCCCAGGTCAAACGCAATCCTGATGTAGCCCTCAATGAAATCAAATTTGATACCCTTGCATTTAATTCATTATTTTTCCATTATAATTCTAAGAGTAAGAAAATTGAAGACAGAGACAGAGGAGCTCTGTGGCTGCATAAGACTAAGCTTAAGGCCAAAGGCGTACAAAAGGCAGTTTTACTTGGAACAGCTTACTGTACATCTAATATAGTACATCATATCTAAGGCAGAACTAGAACTCATAATCTAGCTTGATACCTTAACCACTGCACCAAACTATTTCTCTAGTTAATAATAATTAGAGAATGGTGCCTTTAACACCATTAAATAATATCTGCTTTCTGAGATCCTTGAGAAGAACTCAATTAGGTTGATAAAAATGTTCTAAACACCTGGCTGACAGTGTGACCAACCATAATAATCATACAGATTATCGATTTGCTAATCCCAGATTCTCCACTGTTCCTTTCTGCCTGGAAACCTTTAGTGATCCTAGGCAGAATAAGAAGGAATAGCTACTTACTGTAGAACCAGAATTAAAATAATAGCACTGAAGTTATAACTATTTCTTATGTAGTACATATCTAATACAATCCTGGCATGAATACTAGAAGTAATATTAATCAGCTTAAGATTTGAGATATTTTGGGCATATCACGGAAAAGAAGAATTATTGGAGAAGATCCTAATGTTTTGAGAAAACAGGATGAAAGTATACAGGTTACCTACTGATGCATGTTTACACTTCAAAGAGGACCTCACTGTCAGACGGTTTTGTGAAATAATGTCCATTGGTTCAGAAAGAGTTGGGACTGACTGAATGACCATCTCTTTCTTCTGTGGGCAAGACCTCACTATGATCTTTATGCACTTTTCCCTAAATTAGTATCTTCCTCTATTGAAAGTGATGCATTAAATAATTCTTATCAATTGCCATGGTTACATGTTCCTGAATTTCCTTGAATTTCCCCAAGAAAAAGAACGATTGCTCATGGTTTGCACTTTTGATATTGTGAAATTGTAGATGGATGGATGGGTGGTGGATGCATAGGCAAAGCCAAACAAAGGATTTGAAAGGAGTATTTTACAAAATGTATTAGCAGAAACTAAGCACCCCTCCTCCTCCAGGTTTACATGCAGTCATATTTTGCAAAAGCTTGGAACAGCACTTCACAGACTTTCCCTGACTATCTGTGCATATACACGGATGCTTTAACCCTCTCTAATGGAAGCAGTCTCCATATTTGTATTGTTCTAAAAGTTGCCTCACATTCTCCAACAGCAATAGCATTTAGACTTATATACCACTTTACAGTGCTTTACAGCCCTCTCTAAGCCATTTACAGAGACAGCATATTGCCTCATTTTACTGAAGGATGGAAAGCTGAGTCAACCTTTAGCCTGGTGAGATATGAACTGCCAAAAATGATCTCAGGTACTTGAGAGGAATGGTACATTTATTTTTTCCCTTCAAAAATCCGGTAACATTTCAATGTCAGATGTGTCCTTGGAAATATCAAAGAACCTTCACAAGCAATATCTCAAAGCCAAAATGGCTCCCAGATTCATCCTCATATAGTCATTGAGAAAGGAGTGTATGTTATTCCTACATTGTGTGTTAGTAACAGACAATCATGGATGTAAGACCTCTATAGGAAAGGTGGACACAGTGTAAAGTTGCTCTGATTTTGACTAATAATTGCAAGGCAACAGGTATTTCTCTAATGTAGTATTTCTTGGAATGAATGTATCTGCTACTAGTATGGGGGCTCCTATTTCAGAACAAGTTTCAGATAGATCCCATTGTTTCTTCAATTTTTCATAATATGTCCAAGTGTTGAGAAAGTATGTAATTCTCTTCTGTGATGTTATTTACTGCCCTAAATATATTTTACCTAGAATTAGTTTTTCTTGCTGATGCCTGCAATCTGCAGCCAGATAAAAGGTAGAGTTGAGCTGTTTCTCTAATTGTATTTGCAGTCTTTTTTGTTTGCTGGCTTGCTTCATCCTATAAAAACAAGAACAGTACCTCCACAGTCCAGCATGTTATACTCATCCGGTTTTTCCAAGGGCCAGCAGTCATAATCTGTGTTGTCCAAATCATGCCACCCATCTGCTAAAAGAGTCTGCCACAAGAAACATCAAAAGATTCTTAGATAGACAGTAGTTCATTCTTCAGTAAAACATTTTCTTTCAGATGAGCAAGAATTACTGTTTTACTTATTTATTTTATCTGATTTTAAGCCTGCTTGACTCCTTGATATCTCTGGGTGACAAAAGAAAAATACAATATATATAAAAAGTGTTCTCGCCAATCAGATGAACAAATGCCCAAAGTAACCAAGCAAAATTGAACTGGAAAAACTTCTACAAACACCCAACCAAAGGCTTGGGAAAAGAAACTAGGTTTTTAATAGTTTCCAAAAATTCAGGCTCTCATATTTATCAATTTAGAAAGTAATGTAGATTCCAGACTAAGAAAAAGGCTCAGTAAGCAAAAATTGGTTAAAAAGAAAATTTTTATCTGCTGATTCAGCTCAGTGCAAACCACGCTTTTCCCTACTATTTATATATTAGTATTCATAAACTAGCATTCGGTTAATGAAGGGACTGTAAGATAAATGAGACACTTCAAATATGGGAAGACTACATAATTTCATTTGTGTATTTATTTATTTATTTGTTTCTTTGTGTATGTATGTATGTATGTATGTACCACCTGAGAGCCTCTGGCCAGTTCACAAAGTTAAAACAATAAAACAAACTTAACAAATGCATAAAATTCAGATAGTGAATGCTGAGTCACCATGCTCCTTTTAAAATATATAGGTAGTCCTCAATTTACTACCACAATGGAGTCCAAAATTTCTGCTGCTAAGCGAGACAGTTGTTAAGTGTATTTTGCCCCATTTTACGATCTTTCTTGCCACAGTTGTTAAGTGAATCATAGTAGTTGGTAAATTGGTAACACAGCTGTTAAGTGAATCTGATTTCCCAATTGACTTCCTTCCTTCCTTCTTTCCTTCCTTCCTTCCTTCCTTCCTTCCTTCCTTCCTTCCTTCCTTCCTTCCTAAGTTTTAAGTTTTTCATGAAGCATAATCTCAAATATTACATCCAAGGCATGTTATTTACATGAAAACAAATCCTTTTAGTTGGATTGCTGTTCTTCAACTAATCTTTTGTTCATTCCTGTCATTCAACAACAATATGCCTATAATGTCATTACAAATATCTGGAAATACCATGGTTCATTGTAGACATGAGGGTTTTATCACCACCATTTTACATCGGTGTCAAGTAAAAGACATCTAATAGCAGGTTAAGAGCAGTTAAAATTCTATAATTTGGTCTGTTCCTGGTGCGGAAACATCGTATACAAGAGAAGAGCTTTCAGATTAGTTCTTTGTTTTCATGGGACGAAAGAAAAAGACGTTAAAATGCATGAAAAAATAAGAATGGTGGTATTTACATTATAACAACTATATCGAAGACTCAACAGATATATGAATTATGATTACTATATATTGTTAACAGTTGCTTTTGATTCTACTATCATCATGCCTATAGACCATGTTGTACTCCATAATCTTTACTAGTTTGCTAAATGTTAAGTACATTCCTTGGTTATTGTTTCATTTTTGAGTGTATGTCAGCTAACACTATTTTCACTGTCTCCATCCCTGCCGTATTATCGTTTTTGAAATGTTCCAAAAATCTCAAGCATTTTTAGATCTTGTTTAGTCACAAGGAGGAAATTAGCTTGTGTTCTAATTTGTGGGAGTGTGGGAGTAAATCCAATTCTTGTTTACTACCATTACGATCACTGTTGTTTAGCTTCTATAAACGCTTCTTTGAAAACAATTTAGTTTATGGTGTAGATAACATTTGTAATTTTCTCTCTGTATAAAGAAGTGTTACCTCAACTGATTCAATGATGTGATTCAATGATGTATTACTATAAAACATTCCTGCCAAATTGTTATTGTCAGGATTATTACTATTAAGAATGAGCTTTTATTACAGAAGTCAATAACATGAAGGAAGATTGCCTACCAGTAAACTAAAGAAGATCTGCAGCTCAGGGTGGAGTGTCCTGGTAGCTCCCATATTCCTCAACATGCAGAGAAGCAGATGCTTGTTGCTGAACGAGCCCAACTTCCCCTCAGATCTTAGGCTACAGCTCAATATCTCCCTCCTCTTATTATACCCCTTGCATACAACACAATAGTTATGGAAAGTATCCCAGGCACAGGTCTTAGGTGCCAGAGAACAAAGCCGTGCCTCACGATCGCCCCCTGGTGGCTATAAAATTCTCACTTTACACTCAGGAGTTCAGACTCCTTTAATTGTGAGCTGGTAAATTCAAACACAGCTCTTCTTGCTCCCAGTCCTCCCATTTTGGGGTTGGTTTTTGTGATGTGAGCACTTGTATAAATAAACAATTAATAAAATTGCTATCATATGTTTTTTTCTGAGGTTGGATATAAGTGGGAAAATGAAATGACCGCTACATGTTACCAAGTTTTCTTATATCAAATACCTTTTAAAGTTATTCACCAAATAACTTTTGAAGACTGCTATTTATTAGACAAAAGGGGTATACCTACATAAATCCCCAGAAGTAATGATGGCTATAAAACATCAGGTTTATGCAATGCAGTTTCACAAAATGCCATTAGACTAATTTAGAATTTCTTTTAAAATACAAATAATCCAGGCATAATAACAGCTTTAGATATCTTTGTCACTTCTCTTTCATAGCAAGACTTTTCTTCAATATTACATCAACCTAATCTGGAATGGAAAAAAAATACCAACTATTTTTATAGTTTGTAAATAAATGTGGAATTTAATTGTGAAATATGGAATTCCCACGTCATATGTTTTAGGTCTGCATTCTCGCTATATTTCAGAAATTTACCAAGATATGGCACAAATGATTCCACCTCACAAATGGATATACGGCATAGTTTAGGAGAAATTGAGATTCAATTTCTGTTATTAATGTTCATCAGGAATTAATGTTCAACTTAATCATAAGGATTCATCTGAGAAAATGATAGAGAGAAATGGACATTGCAATTCACCAAGGTACAACCAGATCTATTTTCCTACCTTAGAAAAAGTTGGGAAATTGCCTTTCTTTAGCTCAGGAGTGTCAAACTCAATTTCATTGAGGCAGCATCAGGATTGTGTTTGACCCTGGGGGGCTGGGTGAATGTGGCCAGGGTGGGTGTGGCCAGCTCAACATCACTCATGTTGGGAGGGCCACGGGGTCCGTTTTCACTGGCAAAGGTACCACGGGCCAGTCCCGGTTTCCAGGGTGGCCCCAAGGGCCAGATCTAAGTACCTCATGAGCCGGATCCAACCTACGGGCCTTGAGTTTGACACCCCTGTTCTAGCTCTATCATTTGAACTATCAAAAGTGAAACAAACCAGAATATTTCTTCTTTTACTATGTAGCAAATGTTTTTTTTTATTTCTTCATCTTCCTATTTTCAATAGAAATCTTACAATCACCTGATAAAACTCAAGTTATAACAAACTCATGGCAAAAGACAATTTAACACAATTGAAAGAGATGCTTACCAAAATTGAGTTGCCACTATTTTTTGACAGTTACATAGTGCTTCTAGGATCTATTGATTTTAGCAATTGCCATTTAAGCATAATATGCTATGCTATGGATATGCTATTTATTAAGACAAAGGAAGCAGAAATTGGACTACAGAATAATTCTGAACCTGGAGGATGTTTGAAAAATGAGAGTTCTTTTACTCCCATCTAGTGGTTTTAGCTCCCAATAACAGGCTATAGCTATCTATTTTATGCATGGTATTAAAAGGATAGCCGTCTTTTGTAATATAATATATATGGTAATATAGAAGAAGTAGGCCCTACTGATGAACAGTTGCCAAAAACAGGAGAAACATTTGGTAATAACCATGCTTATTTCACTGGAATCTCCATCTTCAAAGTTGTGACTGGAGAAAGACATCCTTTATATCCCTATTTAAAAACAATGAAACTTAAGTCAACCTATAGATATGTCTTCTGATTTAAGTGGGATCTAAATTGGTATAGTGGCTAAGCATCAGGCTAGAAACTGGGAGGTCATGAGTTCTAATCCTGCCTTAGGCACAAAACCAGCTTGGTGACCTTGGGCCAGTCCCTGTCCCTCAACTCTAAGAAGCAGGCAAGGGCAAACCACTTCCGGAAACTTGCCAAGAATACTGCAGGGACTTGTTTAGGCAACTGTCAAGGAGTCAAAATTGACTTGAAGGTTGAAGGTGCATGTGTGCACGCACGCAACCCCACCGCCCCAAAAGAGCATAAGGAAGATGTTTTGGAATAGACCTTGTGTTCCAGCAATTTTCTAGTTTACATATTGAGGAGATATATAACAATTGTGTAAATCTGGTCTGGTTCTTTCCAGGATTAGAATCAGGCAAGTGAGAAATAATCTCATACTCGAATGTCCCAAAGGTGCTTTTTCAGGAGGCAACTGGACTTTCTTGTCTTTTGAAGAAGAAGAAGTTTCTTCTTCAGCTCTGACGTGACAGTGGGGATTGGAAGACCTGAAGAAGCTTCTTAGATGAGAAGCGAAACGTCTTCAAAAGAAAAAAAAACAAGGAAGTCCAGTTGCCTCCTGAAAAAGCACCTTTGGCAGTGGTCCCCAATCTTTTTTGTGCCGCGGCCCGGTACCGGCATCACAAAATCACCCGCGGCCCGGTACCGGTATCAGCACGCTTGGCAAGGCGAGCCGAGTGACCAGCCAGCCAGCTGTCCCCCGCTTCTCCCCGCCACCTTCAACTCGCCCTTTGTACCTGTGTCGATGGGCTTCGGGACGGCTTCGGGACGGTCGCTCGGCTCGCCTTGCCATGCGTGCTGAAAGAATCCTCGCGCCTTAGTTTTGTTCAAAGCCGCTGCCCCCCCTCGATGAAACTAAGGCGCGAGGATTCTTTCAGCACCCAAATGCCGCTTTCTACCCGGAAAAGCTCACCCGAAGCACTTTTTCATCAAAACAAGATGGCAGCGCCCAGCAAACCGGCGGCCCGGTAGAAATTTTTCCACAGACCGGGACCGGTCCGGGGATCGGTGGTTGGGGACCCCTGACCTTTGGGACAACCATGACATGGAGGACTGAGAATCTCTACAGACTTATACTCAAATCTTATCTGAGTTTTGTAGGAAAGCTAACCCATTGTAAAATCTCTTTGTTAGCATGTGTTACTTCAATGTTATCCTGAATGATCGATGACAAGAAAGAAGAGCATTTAATCTGTCCTTGTTTATTGACATTCTAGCTTTCACAGCACGATATATAGTTGCTCAATATTACTGGCAGAGAAGCATTTTCATGGCTAAATCGTGGCTGAATTCTGTTAGAGGCCAGGCAGTAAGAAAAGGAGAACGAGAGCCAAATCTATATGTGCTACTTTGGGAAGGTAAGGCATGTGGCAGTCATGCTGTTTTAGTATGATCCTTAGTATGATCTTCAAAACAAAATTAAAAAAAAAACATAATGACCATAGCTTAGATATTTATTTGATTTCGTGGAACACTTGAAAGGTGTCTTGGGGACCACAAAGAGTTCCCAGACCATTTGCAAATCATTGCTCTAGCCCAGTTGTGAGAAGTACATAAAAATGAATCAACAGACTTTTGATAATCTGATCCATAGGATGCTTTATTAGGGAAAATACTGTAGTATGGACCCCTTGACTCCAAAACCATGTTTAGAAGCAAAGGAGACCCTCCCATTTAGTGAATACAGCTTATATAGGTTTATCAAATCACATGGTTACATAACACTTCCTGTTTCCCATATATGGATGTTATACAGCGTTTTCATAGGAAGTTCCAATCTTCCATGGACAACTCCCAACATTCTCATTATAGTCAGATTTCCTGTTATTCAAATACCAGAAGATTATAAGAAAACCATTAATATCTCTTAATGTGATTTATAATGTCAGAGTGCCCCAGCACATACCTCTAACTTATGCCAAGTACATAGTTTTTTGCAATCTTGTGTTTTTTTCTAGCAGAAAACACATTTCATAAATGTTCTGAGCTTTAAAAGTTCAGACTGCAAACACAAAATGGCTTCAGTTCGGCTCTTTATATTCTCAGGTGTAATAACCAAATTTTCACCTATAACATGATGGCTAACCTTTTCCACATTGCATGCTAAAAGTGTGCGCGCATGCGTGCGCTTGCTCGCATGCCTGCACCCATGATGCAATGTGCATTCGACTCTCCCCAACCCTTGCACATGCACGCATGACCCCTGTGCACCATGCATGCATGCGCAACCTCCCTGCATGGTGCATGCCTCTATACATGCACACACATCTCCCATGCGCACATCTTCCCTCATGCATGCTTGGCAGATACCCAACAATCAGCTGGCTGGTGGGGGATGTGCACACATGCACGGTAGGGCTCTTCCATGCCAGCAGAAGTGGCTCTGCGTGCCACTTCCGGCATGCGTGCCATAGGTTCGCCATCATGGCTCTAGGCTATAATTTGCTAAGAAGTATTAATTGGTTCATTAAAAATACCTGCTTCATCACCAATTACTTTTTGTTGAAATGAGCCAGTAAATACTTAATACTTTAATGTAACTATCACAATATTTGAATATAATTGTTGTACACTGTGTGCACACTTATTATGCATTTTGGAGGATTCATTTTATTATTGAACAATTACCGTGCTCTCGATCAATCCAAAATATTAATAAACCTCAAACCTGAATATTTTAGAAAATAAAAAGGAGGTTATGGCTTTCTTGGGAGAATATCTATGTGTGCACAATTATTGGGCAACTATTAGCGTGCAGAATTTTTACGCAACTAAATGAAAAATTTCTCATCTTACTCATTTATTTTCATCTGTTAAAGTGCGAATAATAAACAAATAACTCAAAAATTTAGAAATAAACATTTCTGACAAAAAAAAACATTTCTGACAGAAATAAACATTTCTGACAAAAAACAACAAACCAGTGACCAATATAGCCACCTTTCCTTTCAATAACAGTCATAAACCTTCCATTCATGGAGTCTATCAGTTTCTTGATCTGCTGATGATCAACTTGTTGTGCAGCAGCAGCCACAGCCTCCCAGACACTGATCAGAAAATGGTGCTGTTTTCCTTCACCATAAATCTCCCGTTTAAGAAGGGCCCACAAGTTCTCAATAGGGTGAGGGTCCGGTGAGGAAGGGGATATGTCATTATTCTTTCATCTTTAAGGCCTTTACTGGCTAGCCACACAGTGGACTACTTCATTGCATGCAATGGAGCATTGTCCTGCATAAAAATCATGGTCTTCTTGAAAGATGCACACTTTTTCCTGTACACTGCTTGAAGAAAGTGTCTTCTAAAAACTGCCAGTAGGTTTGGGAGTTGATTTCAAGTCTATGTTCAACCCGAAAAAGTCCAACTAGCTCATTTTTCATAATCGCAGCCCGCACTAGTACCCCACCTCCACCTGTCTAGCATCTGAGTCGAAGTGGAGCTCTGTGCCTGTTACTGATCCAGTCACAGGCCCATCTATCTGGTCCGTCAAGAGTCACTTTCATCTCATCAGTCCCTAAAACCTTTGAAAAATCTGTCTTCAGATATTCCTTGGCCCAGTCTTGCCATTTCAATTCTTCTGTCTTGCTCAGTTGTGGTCTGATTTCAGCCTTCCTTACCTTGGCCATGTCTTTGAGCACTGAACACCTTGTACTTCTGGGCACTCCAGGTAAGTTGCAGTTCTGAAATATGACAGCACTGGAAGATAATAAGTTCCTGGTAGCTTCATGTTTGATTCTTCTCAAATCTTTGGCAGTGAAGGTGTGTCTTTTTTTTCTTGGGACCCTGTTGACTATTTGCAACAAAACATTTGATGGTCATGCCCCAATATCTTAGCAATTTCAAGAGTGCTGAGTGCTGCATTCTTCGGAAAGACTTTTTACAATTTTTGACTTTTTCAGAGTCAGTTAAATCCCCCTTTTAGCCCATTTTGCCCGAGGGAAAAAAGTTGCCTAATAATTATGCACACCTTGATAGAGGGTGTTGATCTCCTTAGGCCATGACCTCCCTCATTATACAAATACACATCATCTGATCTGCTTATACCCACTAAGCATTTAAGTTTATACAACTTGAAGGTAGAAAATATGCATACAAAGGATGATATGGTCAAAATACTCGCTTGCCTAATAATTGTGCACATGGTGTAGTCCGTATTTTTACAGATTTTTTTTTCTTTCCAGTCTCATTATGTACAATGTAAACATGCATGCCTTTATGTACCTACAGCAAAGCATAATGTTTCATACATCCATTAAAAAGGTTTACTGTGTCAAAATCAAATGGTACAATAAAGGATCCAGGATCTTTGCCACAAGATATCTCAAGGTTTTGTTTGTTTCTATAAATTTCTGGATCTCCCAGTAACTGGTAACTCAGAACAAAACATGCTGCTTGAGGGGTTCTTAACTTGTACCCACTGTTAGTCATCTAAAATTAATATAGTTCAAGTCTGGTTTACACAATAAACCCATAAATATTCAAGAATTACAGGCTTGCTGAATTGTAACACATGAGAAAAGAAGTTGATTATTGTTTCAATCCTTTCCTTTATAAAACAATCATATGCACAGAAAAGGTGCTTATAGAAAGTTTTCTATAATGTTACACTGTCATGAAGGTCTCCTATATTCAGAGAATGTTATTTATAGTGAAATGGTTGCATACATGTGTCATGATGCTTGCTTTCATCATTTTAATGAAAATGAAGTCTTGAAGACAGCTCAGTAATATAAAAGCCATTTTTCCAATTGTTGGAATTAGCCAGTTTTTCAATTAGTATTATTTTCATGTTTCAAAAGTAGAATAATAAGCATTATGAATTGAATTTTAATTAATGCTACTTTAAGTCAAACACAAATTAGTTTTGCGTCTCGCCCTCCCTCCTTTCTGTCTTGTCTAGCCTACTTTTGAGAATGTGATGTGATGTGATGTGTGTGTGTGTGTGTGTGTGTGTGTGTGTATGCTGTGAAAGCTGGACCATAAGGAAGGCTGAGTGCTGAAGAATTGAGATCTTTGAACTATGGTGCTGAGAAGACTCCTGCAAGTCCCTTGGACTGCAAGGCGATCAAACCAGTCAATCCTAGAGGAGATCAACCCTGACTGCTCTTTAGAAGGCCAGATCCTGAAGATGAAACTCAAATACTTTGGCCACCTAATGAGAAGGAAGAACTCACTGGAGAAGAGCCCAATGCTGGGAAATATTGAGGGCAAGAAGAAGGGGACGACAAAGAATGAGGTGGCTGGATGGAGTCACTGAAGCAGTAGGTGTGAGCTTAAATAGACTCCAGAGGCAACTAACAACATCCATCCATCCATCCATCCATCCATCCATACATACATACATATCTTTCCCATCTTTTCCAGTTATTAAAATGCTGATTAAAATCTACAAAGCACGGGATTAGAAAACATCAAAAACTGTATTGACCAGGTTAGATAATAGTAGCACTTTCTGATTTTATGTTTCATCAGTATTGCGTATATAACAGCTTTTCAAAGTTTAACATCTAGAAAGTGTGAGGCCTTTAAACACTAAATATGAATCTTTTAGCAAGCAGAAAAGAGATTCAACCAGTATAGAACTTTTCAAAACAAATATTTAAATCACATAATTTTTTAAAATGGAATTTCCCCTTTCCTCCATTCCCCTCACCCCCAAACACATGTAAGGGATATCTGATCTATACCGATAGATGGCGGACTAACACAACATACAAAAAATACTTAGAGACTGACATTTTTACAGAATACAAACAGAAAGGTACAGTACTTTAATCTGCATTGTTTAGTTGAGTTATATTTTGCTTCTTCTCCAAAGAGTTCAAGATAGTGTCCCAGTCTGTGCGTCTTTACCCTTTTAAAACATTTAGCAATCAGAACAACCGACTAATTTGCCTTTGCTAATTTTAATAGTCAAGGTATATACAGTCAACTCCTCAAGTACATATTTATTTCTTTAGATTTTTTTTTTTAAAAATAATACCATGAAATATTTTCCTATCAGTCATTTCTCGGCTTAAATAATTCCTTGCCAAGATGCTTTTCCACCTACAAAGGAATGGAATTGAAATCCCTAATTAGGAAAAAATTAAGTTCACCAGTTGAACAAACTACAAAATCGGTCTTTCTTCAACAGCACTTAAGGGATATAAACAGAAAAACATTTTCTCCAACATTTTATTTATTTCTTTTTAATTTATTCACTTTTACAAACCATATGCTACAATTTTCAAGAAAATTGAGCAATGTTTTTTCTGATTGAGTTCGCTGCAAAAATGTATATAGTACATGTTAACAGACTGACCTTCAGGAGAGCAAGGAGTTGCTTCAGTAATTGTTATTGCTTGGGTTTCTGACCTTATCTGAACATCTTCATGCTGTGTCTGTTATTGGCATTTGAACCAAGGAAATTTATTTCATATCTTCACACAATTGTTGAGAGAATTTAGACCTATTATGGTTTTTACTTATTTATTTCTTAATCAATTTTGTATGGCCACCTATTTCATGAAAAATTAGCCTTGGCAGAGTGTAACAATCAGATAAAACGATCATTATAAAAATATAAAAGTCAGCATTAAAAGTTTAATGTTATTAAAAGCAAAATTCCAAGCAAAGAGAGAAAATATATCCATCTCTCTAGGGCTTCTGAACAGAGAATGGGACAACTTGCCATGGCCAATTTGCTGAGGCCAACTCCCCATGGCCAACTCCACTTCCCTGGGACTGCAGACCTGGTGATGTTGCTGGATCTTTAGGGACTTCCATATCATCAAGAGCTAGAGCTAATCTAATTTTGGAGAAGTGGGAGAATATAAGACAGGTACCATGACAGCCCATGACCACCAAATGTAAGTCCCTGGCACATGCATCTCATATCACAGGATCCTTGTTGTAAGGATAAAATTAGGGGAAACTCCTATACGTAGGATATTTTATTTTATTTTATTTGTCAATTGTTTACAAGATAATAAGTATAAGTGTATACATAGTTATGACTACATGAAATGGGTACATATAAGAAAAATAAAAGAAAAATAAAAGAAACAATAGGACAGGGACGGTAGGCACATTGGTGCGCTTATGCACGCCCCCTACAGACCTCTTAGGAAAGGGGTGAGGTCAATAGTAGACAGTCTAAGGTTAAAGTTTTTGGGGTTTGGGGAAGAAACTACAGAGTCAGGTAGAGTATTCCAGACATTGATCACTCTGTTGCTGAAGTCATATTTCCTGCAATCAAGCTTGGTGCGGTTAACCTTGAGTTTGTATCTGTTGTGTGCTCTTGTGTTGTTATGGTTGAAGCTGAAGTATTCATTGACAGGTAGGACATTGCAATGTATTATTTTATATACCATGCTTAAGTCAGACCGAAGACGGCGTAATTCAAGGTTTTCTAGTTCTAGAATTTCAAGTCTGGTGGCATAAGGTATTCTACAACAAGTAGAGGAGTGGAGAACTCTTCTTGTGAAATATTTCTGGACTTTCTCAATTGTGCTAATATCAGATACGTAATGTGGGTTCCAGACTGATGAGCTGTATTCAAGAATTGGTCTAGCAAATGTTTTGTATGCTCTAGTTAGTAGTGTGATATTACCAGAGAAAAAGCTACGTAAGATTAGGTTAACAACTCTTAATGCCTTTTTGGCTATGTAGTTGCAGTGGGCTCTAGCACTTAGATCATTAGAGGTGAGTATTCCAAGGTCCTTTACAGACCTTGGATCGTCAACAAGATCTTGACTATTCAGCTTGTATTTTATTTTCGGATTTTTTTTGCCAATATGTAAGACAGAGCATTTATTTGTTGAGATTTGAAGTTTCCATTTGTTTGACCATTCTGATACACAGTCAAGATCTTTTTGAAGGGTAGCAGTATTGTCTGTGGTATTGAACAGCTTTACATCATCAGCGAAAAGAACGCAGTTGCTCTTAATATGATCACAGAGGTCATTTATGTAGAGTATGAAGAAAGTTGGTCCTAGAACACTGCCTTGGGGGGACACCACTATTGACAGGTACAGAATTTGATAGGACGCTCCCAATTTTGACCATTCGTTGTCTGTTTGACAGGAATGCTTCTATCCAGTTATGCAGTTGTCCAGAGATACCATAGGATTTTATTTTTAGTAGTAGTTTGTCATGTACCACTGAATCAAAGGCTTTACAGAAGTCTATGTAGATTGCATCTATTGTTTTGCCCTGATCAAGTTGTGTAGTCCATATGTTTTTGCAGTGTAAGAGTTGCAGATTACAGGATAGTTTTTTTCTGAAACCAAATTGTTTATTGGAGAGTAGGTTGTTTGTCTCTAAGTGGAGGATGATGGATTGGTTAATAATTGATTCCATGACTTTACAGGAGACGCAGCATAAGGAGATTGGTCTGTAATTTTCAACTAGGCTGGGGTCTCCCTTTTTGAAGATGGGGATGACTGTGGCTTGTGACCATAGGTTAGGCAAGGAGCTGGTCCTGAAAGATTTTTCAAAGATTATGCTTAGAGGTTTGGCTATGGCAGTGGATAGCTTTTTTAAGAAATAGGCACATATTCCATCCAGTCCAATAGATAGAGATGGTTTTAGATTGCGTAGTGCTTTTTCAACATTGTCTTCTGTAAAATCGATATGTATTAGA